ATGTCAATAGCAGTACTTATGTCTCCTAAATCATTCTAGAAACAACATACCAAAAAATTTCACCTTGTCTTCTTTATATTTCATCCTGGGAGTCAAGAAGACCAGAACATGGTTTCTCATGGGCAGATGTGAAAACAAAAGATGCATGTGTATTCCTCATGTCAAAGAATTTGGTCAATTAATATGAAGCTGACCCTCTTCTGTAGATGACCATCTTTGATTTATCAGTTAACATGATTAGTGATATCATACCTTTGAAAATTAGAGAACTGACGGGACTTTGGTTGCTGAACTTATCAAACAACCACAACCATGGTTTGGAACTGGTGTTAACGGTGGGCATGAGTCCTATGGAGAGTTTAGATATCTCATATAATGATGTAATTGACTCCATACCCCATGAAATGGTTCAATTGTCCTCATCTTCAACTCTTGGCATTGCCTTGAATCACTTGTCATGTATGATCCCCAATAATGAAAAGTTCGGAACTTTGTAGTTATGAAGGTAGTTTAGGACGGTGTGAAAAGCCCCAAGAAAAAGCCTGTTCTCATAACAAGGAGATAGCGAAAAAGATTACAGAAGAAGGGAAAAAGAAGGGCAACTCAATGTATTTGACTCACACTTTAGTTTTTTCACATGTTATAGTGTCAATTACTGTGGCTTTTGGTGGTTTCTCATTGATGTCTTTTTCAATATGAGTTGAAAGGGGAAATATTTCAAAAAACATTGATCAATATCATAATTTTTACTTAAAACATGTTTCAAAATTTTCGTTTTCTTGGTAATCTCTAGTGGAATGTTTGGGGTTTATCTTCCACTAAATTCTTCCCAGTGGTTATAGTCTAGGGAAAATACAATATCCAACTTCGATGTATCATTACTTTGATGATCTTGAAATTAATATCATTTTTTTTCAACATATATCTTTATTTTTCATTTTCAAAGTATTTATAAATGGAGAAACACTAAAAAATCATTAAAATATTAGACTTGAATGCGCTGCATCTCTATATAGGCCCAACACCTTTGTATCGAACTAAAAGAGGTTATGTTTCAACTGGGAGCCTATAGGGAGACTAGTGGAAACTAGGTACCATCTGATGCTTCGTGATTGAACAGAGAAAAGAAGCTTGTCAATATACTTTAATGATTCTAGACACAATCAGACAGATTAGGAGAAATGAAAAAGTCTTGTTTAATTTCAACTGGTAGGTTTTGGATCAATTTGGTAACTAGTTCCTGATGATATATCCAATAATGATAGTATTGTTGGCTGCTCTCCAAACAATTGTTGTGAAGTAGCTATTTGTATTAAGATGTTTTGTAGGAACTAAGTTATGTTGATCACCATGAATAAGGATTTTAAAGCTATTACAAGACATTAGAGAAATTATACTCCCAAATTTTCGTTCTAAAAGAGACTTTGGAAAAAAACACAAACAAAAAGTTATAGTGTCTAATGCATTTAAAAGATAAGCTACCTTAAAACAGTTAAATGATTAGACACATTGCAAAAAGATAATTGTTCATACAAAGTATGTTCATAATTAAACATAATTTGAAAATTTAATTGACCTTATGCTTTTTTTTCATCATCAAAACATCATGTAGTCAAGACCCTAATGGTCTAAACCTTCTTTTAGTGAAGGAATATAAAAGCAATAAACTGACCTAGTTCATGAACCGTTAGCTGCAATGAACATCAAAAAATGGAAAATGGATTTGCTTTTATGCAGTCTTACTACTATTTGCCATGGCATCTTTAATCCACTCCTTTCCATAGAGGACTGGCGGAAGCTACTAGCACATATGATGTTATTGAAGGAATTTGAAGGATGACAAGCCTACTCATAGTAATGATTTAAGGATGACTATTCTAATGAAGCAATCGCTTACAATACTGCTAGTCTCCTGGTCAATATCAGTTTGTTGGAAAGGAAAGAGGTTTTAGGCAGTCTACTCTCACTTCATTGGTGGAGTCTAGGGAGGCAGATTTTCTAGATTTTGGCCCCACTTGATGGGTGACAATATTGACCAGCCCATGTCATTCTTTTCATTCATGACTCTTATAATCAAAGGGCATTCATGTGTAGTCAACTCATCAGCAATCTTCTCAACTGGCGGTGAAGTATCTGCTTGGCATTCTTGCATTCAATTTCTGACCGCTTTCTCCATGCACACAAATACTGGGTAACTCCTTTGGGTACTCCCACCATGATATATGAGCAACTTGCGCTGCCTGACAGAGCTTGATTTATCTTATGATCATATGTTGTTCCATGAATCTCAATACATCTTTTAGAAACTGGCAATGTGGCGTCCGTTTGTCACCGCTCAATCTGCATCAAATCAGTCACATAAATTGAGAAAAAACGAATTCCGAGCAAGCAACTCTCATGCTATTCCTAGGTAGCACAGGAAGTTATCCAAACTATGTGAATTAGAAAGGCGAATGATTGCTGTTCGTTGCCTTTCCTCTTTACAGCTCATATCGCATTGTCCAAATTGTCACTGCAGGTCAGCTTATCGTTGCTTGATCAAATGGCGGAACAAGCTTTTTGGCTCATTTCATCATCCTGACCTTTATGCCTTTTCAAGAATCAAAATAATCACAACGTGAGGAGGAACCCTTGGGTTTCTCAAGATTTCCTACCACTCTTCTCTACAGAAAGAGGAAAGGATGAAATATCTTGAAGTTATGGATCTCATGACCTCTAAATCGTACACTTCGGAAATTTAAATGGACTTTCAAGTTCCCTGTATGCAACTGACAAACTACGTCGAACTTTCTATGTCGTGGATCGAGTGTTGGGGTAGTGGAAGAGCGGTAGAATATACGACAACTGATTTTTGGCACTTCTGCTCCTGTTCAGGTAGGAAGGCCTAGAACTCTCCCGAGGCCACAATCAGTGTGGGTCTTCCACCGGGTCAGCACATATATCGTAGCTGTTTCTCTCAAGGCCCAAAAGAAGGTGGTCAACTATGTCAGCTTCCAGGCGCTTCCTCCTCTCTTATTAAACCGTTTCAGCCTTCCGACAACCATCGCGCCAATCAGGATCATCTTTCCGCCATTGCTCCACCGGCCGGCGAACCCGTACCACCCATCCTTGCAGCTTCTGTCTTCCTTCAATCGCCGGCCGCAGCTGTACCCCATCGACAACCCAACATTGCCATACGCGCTGCGCATGCAAACACAGCCGCCGGCACGAGTCAGTATCCATCTTCTTAAGATTCAGAAGTCAAATCTGGGGGACGGTAAGCAAGAAGCCTAGTTCCGTTCTGTCCACCTTGACCCCGAAGAAAGTTTGGTTGGCTACTAACCCGGAAAATTTGGTTTCAACCTATTTGAAATATCCCCATATGTAAAATTCTGAGCAAAGAGACAAATCTAATTAACTGGGCCAAAATGGGTTAACCCTAGCCATGTACGGGCCTGTAGCCCGGCCTGGAAATTGACTCTCGAGCTTGTTTAACGCCAGGCTAGATGGCCCAAGGCACCCTTAGAAAAACACTAAACTGACCAAGTTCATGAACCATTAGCTGGCAATGAACATCAACAAATGGAAAATGGATTTACTTTTCTGCTGTCTGACTACTATTTGGCATGACATCTTAAATCCACTTCTTTCTAAAGAGACTGATGGAAGCTACTAGCACAGATGTTGTTATTGAAAGAGTTTGAAGGATGATAAGCCTAGTCATAGTGAAACCCTGAAGTAGTATTGTAAAAGTCATAGCTTACAATACTACTCCTAGTCTCCTGGTCACTTCATTAGTGGAGTCTAGGGAGGCAGATTTTCTAGATATTGGCCCCACTTCAAGGGTGACAATATTTTGATGGAGGATCCTTCTTGCTTATTTAACCCAACCCAGGTCATTTTGTTCATTCATGAATCTAATAATCATAGGGCATTAACATGTAGTCGACTCATCAACAGGATTCTCAACTGGAGGAGAAGTATCTGCTTGGCATTCTTGCATTCAATTTCTGACCGCTTGCTCTATGCACACAAATACTGGGTAATTCACAACTTCCCTAGGTTCCACATATTTGTAAGCTCCTCCTTTATTTTGTGGGGTTTTTTCTTTTCATGAGAAACTCCTTAGGGGGCTCCCACCATAATACAGGAGCAACTTGCGCTCCCTGATAGTGCTTGATTTTTCTTATGATCATATTTGTTTGATGAATCTCATTACATTTTTCAGCAACTAACAATGTGGCGTTCGTTTGTCAACGCTCAATCTGCATCAACTCAGTCGCATGATTGGAGGAAAAAAAATGAATTGCGAGAGAGCAACTCTCAGGCTATTCCTAGCTAGCACACGAAGTTATCCAAAGTATGCGAGTTTGAAAGGCGGAATGAATACAAGGGGACAGAGATTCAACCTCAATCTCCAAACCGTAGAGGAACAAACACTGTACTTTCTTTTGTCTACTACGCATTGGAGACGGTGATTGCGTCCTTGCAGTCTGTATTGCCTCTCCTCTTTACAGCTCAGATCGTATTTTCCAAATTGTCAATGCGAGTCAGCTTATCGTCGCTTGATCAAATGGCGGAACAAGCTTTGTGGCTCATTTCATCATCCTGACCTTTATGCCTTTTCAAGAATCAAAACAATCACAACTTGAGGAGGAAGCCTTGGGTTTCTCAAGAATTCCTACCACTCTTCTCTATAGCAAGAGGGAAGGATGAAATATCTTCAAGTTATCTATGGATCTCATGACCTGTACAACGGAGACTTGGGAAGATTAAATGAACTTCCAAGTTTTTTGTATGAAACTGATAAGTTGCGTCGAACTTTTTTTGTCGCGGATCGAGTGTTAGGGCAGTGGAAGAGCGGTAGATTATACGACAACTGATTCTTTGGCACCTTTTGCTCCTGATCATGAATGAAAGGTTAGAACTCTCTCGAGGCCACAGTCAGTGTGGGTCTTCCACCGAGTCAGCACATATTTCGTAGCTCCATAGTTAGTGCAGCCCAAAAAGAAGATGGTCAACTATGTGAGCTTCCAGGCACTCCCTCCTCTCTTGTTAAACCTCTTCAACCTTCCGACGAGCATCACGCCAATGAGGACCATCTTTCCGCCGTCGCTCCACCGGCCGGCGAACCCGTACCACTCATCCTTGCAGCTTCCGTCTTCCTTCAGCCGCCGGCCGCAGCTGTACCCCATCGACAACCCAACATTTCCATACGCGCTGCACATGCAAACACAGCCGCCGACACGCGTCGGTTACCATCTATTTAAGGATTCAGAAGTCAAATCTTGGGGGCCGGAAAGCAAGAAGCCAAATTCCGTTCTGTCCATCTTGACCCGAAGAAATTTCGCTTTAGCCTATTTGAAATATCCCCATATGTAAAATTCTGAGCAAAGAGACAAATCTAATTAACTGGGCCAAAATGGGTTAAGCCTAGCCATGTACGGGCCTGTAGCCCGGCCTGGAAATTGACTCTCGAGCTTGTTTAACGCCAGGCTAGATGGCCCAAGGCACCCTTAGAGAAAGGGGCCAGTCGGCTGGCCCTAAAAAATGGCTTTTTAGAGTGCCTGTCATGGCTAGATAACCTTTTCTAGTTGGATCCGGGGAGAAAAGTGAAAATTCCCGAGGCAGATGAATAGCAGACCTGACCACTTCGAAGGCGATGTTAAAGACGTTGAAGTTTAGGGCATCCTGAACAAACTTCGTCCTCTCGGTGACGCACACCGCCATGACGAAGATGGCAATGTACCCGAGATGCGACAAGATCAGGGTTTCAGATAGCAGCAGATCTGAGCTCCTCCGTCCTCCTCTCCGTTGGCCCACTGAGATCTCATCCTCCTCCGGGGAGACGGATGTGTATGGAGGGAGGTACCTGTGAACCAAGAAGCCATTGGACCTCTGATTCTTTGAGGCTAATTTCACTGAAGGAAGGGTTCGGAGATGAACTAGAGTGAACTCACATCATTACGACGTAGAGCACCAAGATCGCTGGCGAGATTACCGACATATCAAAGACGGACTCCCCGGCGTGCCTCGAATTTACTGACTGGAAGAGCACCGCCGCTGCCTTCTGCCATGTTGACAGGTCGCTGCCTCGCAATACATCTGAATCCCACTCCAGGCAGACAAAAATGATGAATTGAACGCCTATCAACGCCGCTGTGGTGAGGACGAGGTGTACGCAGCGGCGCTTCCCAAACAAATGATCGAAGCCGAGATGCCGTCCGTCTCTCCGGGTCAGCAAGTCGTCGAGAGTTTCTCGTCTTTTCCTGACTAGACGTCCCCAGCTCCAGAGCACCGACCTCAGGCCAGGTGGGAAGAAACAGTTTCCGGCGAGGATGAGGGGGATGATCAATAACAAGAGGCCGGAACTTTTTCTAAATGGAAGCATGTTCTCGTTTGTGAGGACAAATCCACAGTTTGTGAAGGAAGACACGGAGAGGAAGATGGAGAAGTCCACGATGTGGATTCCCTTGTTCGTCAGAACTTCTCGGGCTTCGCTGGCGGCGAAGAAAGCTAGATAGATAACAATAGCTGCAAAACCCAGAGAAATGGACCCCACAACGTAACCGAATATTGCCATGCTTAGGAGGTTCATGGACTGATACCTCAATTCCGTGTCCGAATGTTCCTCTATTTCAACTGTTGGCGACGCCGGCGGGCCTGAAATGGGAAGCTCCAAGGCAATAGAAATACTGACGTCTTCGCCTATGTTCATTGCTGGGTCAGCTTTTCTGTTCTCTCTCGTGATCTTGGCCTTTATAAGGTGATTATGGAGCAAGGACGTGAACCCCTCTCCGCCAGTCAGCATGAGGAGGATCAGAACAAAGACCTGGCCCCTCGAGAAGGCCTCCATCTGCGTCGTCGACATGCTCGACACCGTTGCCGCCGACACTGCTGTGAAGAAAAGATCAAGATCCCCAGTCCCGACCCTTCCCGGCTTTGGGCCCAGCTTCATCAGCAGCAAGAAGCCCACGAAAGAGTTGGCAACGAAGAACATCAGGAGGAGCAAGAATGGATCGGCGGAGGCGGCTGCCCACTGGTATCTGCGTACGACCGCCTTTAAGAATGGCCTGGCCGTGCAAGACAACTGACGGCGTGAAAGGTAGAAAAGCCCCCGGAGCCGGTTGCCGGGAACGGACCAGGCGCCTATGAGAAAAGGAGCCATAAGGGATGGGCGGTGACGCCGGTCCGTGGAAGAAGCCCTGGTCATATATGCTCTCTGGAGGCCCGAAGGTTGGTTCCCGCCAATAATGCACGGCGAATTATTGAGTGCAATGAGACAAGCCGCAGCTTTCGCGCGGTCGGCCTAGGACCAACCTTGGAAGTGTGAATTCGGTGGCTGGGAATGGAGACGACGGATTTCAATCCTCCGATGGTTGATTTCCATTCTAACCTACGTATCGTAGCCCCTGATACTGGGAAACTCAATCTTTCGGCCATTGACCATAACACGCTACGACCATGGATACTTCACTGGGTACTTCAATGAGTAGGGCCCTTTGCCTTTGTTCTATCAAAGGATCGTACTCTCCGGTTGCTCCTCGTTGACTACGGAGGCTCCTTCGAGAGAACCGGTCCGCAGCAGGGAGTAGAAAACTCGCCAGCACAATCTTTCTGGTCACATGGTCGAGGGAGAGAGAGGATGGGCGGCCTGATTATGACGTGATTTGTTCAGCTTTCTTTCTTTGTTTCTTGGCTTCGGTGGTTGGCCCCTTCAACCAGCAGAAGTGCGTTGCTGAGGAGACAAGAAGTTTCCCCGTCTTGGACACCTTTTCGGTGCCTGTAGTTCTTCTGGCAAGGAGGCCGATTGTCCACAGACCCATCGCCGACGGAAGGCTGATGCTGACTGCGTTCCGGCTTGTGGTGGTTCTCGCACCACGGTAATCTAGTGGCTGACATGAACGACAAATATAATTAATATGAACGAAAAATATATTAATATTGGAAAGTCTAAATGTAGGGGTAGATATGAACGACAAAAGATAGTCAATAGTGAAGATATGAAACAAATGGCGTAATTATTGAAAATTATGTTATACCCAACAAAATTAGAATATGTCATTGAGAAAACCCAGTTTCGAAATATTTTTCATTCCATAAATGTGTTCTTGTTGTACCCCACTAAAATAGAATATGAAATATACATTAAATTGTTCATGATCTCAATGTGGAAGAGCTACTCAATTATCTCTTATGTTGTGAAGGATTACGTTAAAAACAACCTCATGGTTAAATCATGCGATTAAGAACAAAACAACGACTGTCAATTGGCCAGTCTTTCTAGGATGACAATAAATCTGATTATTGAATTTTTTACATTATATATACTAGTTTTATCTGTGCAAGGTATGTGCAGAAAATCCACTTACTTATCAGGAAACCATAAACAGTTTTACATTGAAATTAATCTCCTAAGTCTAAGCAATAATCTCTTGAATGTAGCGCTAAGAGATTTTTACATGAATTTACATGTGGACAGTTTTCTATGAGTTGGGTAGTCATACATGAATAGTATAAGACCCCCACCTTGACATTCAGATCGCTTTGTCCATTTCATAATTACAGGAAATTGATTCTTATGAGCACCCTTGATAAGAACCACATGCTTATCGAATGACATTGGAAGATCCACTGCCCGCCACATGTGAATGTTTCAGGCAGTATCATCAACCAGAAATCACATGATATATATATATATATAACCAGAAATGTATACTAGTGTAAATGATTGACGTTTTGGGATGAATCTGTCCCCCTCACTTCAGTACGAGGTGAAGTAGCATAAGATTGAAATGGAGAGAAGGAGACTTGGTTCTCTATCACAGCAAAACTCTCCTTTCATGACTAAGCCGTAACGAGGAAGATGAAGCAGCTATTTTTATGGCCGTTACCTGCTAACAGATGTGGCTCTCTGTTCCAGAGGAGAAAAGCTGCAACGAAGAACCCTAGCTCCCAGTTTCTTGTGATAGTTTAGGGCTCATTTCACAAGTGTTTGCCTGGTCAACAGAAATGGGGCGAAACATCCTTCCAACCCTACGATTGCTATGCGGCAACCTGTCGTAGTCTGGGGCGGCCTGCAGGAGCTCTGAGGATTCAGGATAATTTGCAACATTCGAGTCCGGGGCCGGTGATTCAACTTAATCATGAGGATACTTCTTCATTACATACGACTAGGTTTCATCCAAGTGGGATATTGATGCAGCACGATCCCACTCGCCGTTGGACGGAAGAACGGTGGAGCCGGTCAAGGGAGCTGGAGACACGCGACGTGGAGGATGTGGATCTCATTGATGACACGACCATCCATCATTCATGCCGCGCCACAAATGCTCTGAAACGGACGATTTCCTTAGACTACGAGTTACTATTTGGGGCCTGTAAATTGGCCGGAATACCTCTGATTGTAGACATTGCATATTGGAGTTTGAAGCATAGTTAGTCACCTGATCGTTTGATCGCGCCGCTCCGGCTTGGGTTGGTCGGAGGACCCCGTCGCTCCCGATCTGGAGCTTCTTCTCCCCGTCATCTTCCACTTATCTAACCTTCCCTCTCTCAGCCACCGGCTTGCCGCTCGTCGCCTCCCACCTCTGCAGCCTCCCTTTCTTCGCCGCCGGCTTACCCTCACCGTCACTGCCTTAGCCGTAACCACAGCCCCCCTCTCGCAGTCCTCGTCGCCCGCTGCCGTCTCCTGCCCCCGTTTTCACCTCTGCCGTCGACCATCGTCGCCGTCTGCCGCTGCCGCCGCCACCATCCCGGCCTGTTCCGCCTTCGACGTCCCGGCCCCCGCCCCCATTCTCTTCCGCCGCTGCCCGATTCACTCTCTCCTCTCTCTCCGGATAGGTTTCAAAACCGTCCGGTTTGTGGGCCTAGACCTTCCCTGTCCGATTGGCCCATTTCTACCGGGCCCAGCTTGCTTCGTCGCCTGGATTGAAACACTCGGTTCGCTGGTCCGAATCGAGTTACGCGAACCAACTGATCTGCACCGGTTCGTCCTACCGGTTCAAACCGCGCCTGACCGTCTAGTCCGCGCCGGCCCATCTCATGGGGTCTGAACCACCCCCGTAGGCGCTGGTTAGGCCCCAGGTCATCCAGTCAATGGTCAACGCTTTAAGCCAAATATCAATAGTCAAAGGTCAACAATAGGGGTCAATGGGTCAACCTATCATCCAACGGAGAGGTCATAGGATACTACCTTTGCATGTTAGGTTGATTATAACCTCGTGATAGAAAATAAATCTGATCTATCAAATGAGCGAGTCTCCTACTTCAAGCTAGTAGATCCCATATGTTGCTCATCCCCATCAGCCTCCTCGGAAGTGCAGTGCATCGTCCTAACACAGTTTGTGTTGTTCGGCCATGCGGAGTGGAGCTCCAAGGGTCGAAGCATATGAGCACGTATAAGAACGTAGTGGCGTCGTCTTTCGAGCAAGTATGCCCCAAGCACGCGGCCGAATCGTCATTTGCATCTCCATTTCGTTAGCCATGATACTGTTCTTCTGTGCTATGATGCGAGCTCCCTCTCTCTCTCTCTCTCTCTCTCTCTCTCTCTCTCTCTCTCTCTCTCTCTCTCTCTCTCGCTCTCTCTCTCTCTCTCATTCTTCTTCATTCTTCTACATTCTAATCAGATCAAGAGTGGGCAAGGGTCTGTCGATCGATCAAAGGTGTCCTTATCACAATAATGCTGTCCAGAGTTTCACGCTGCAAGAAAAAGTCGATTATTTTACAGAAAATTCACCGAATCAACCTAGCCCGATGTTGGCTTTTCCCACTCTTATATTCTTCGCCTCTCGTTCTATTAATCCCACAGACACGGCACCCAGCAAGATGAGTGACCTGTTCCGCACACACCCTATGGACAAACAATATCCAGGAACGATAATGAGGAAAACGATATGGGGGCAAGTGGAGAAGGTGATGAGGCCGTCGAAGTAAATCTGTGGAAATCAGACGTGTAGCCCGATCATGGAAAGTTCATCTCCCTACAGCACTCCACATGCAACTCCACCCCGGGTCACTCTCATCCGAATCCACTTTGACTTATTAAGATAATCTTATCTCGTAAATAGGCAGGAGCAGGACACGGAGCAGGACTCGGAGGAGGAGAAGGGGAAGACGTGGGAGGAGCTGGAGAGGGAGGCCAGCAACGCCGAACGGGAGAAGGGCGACGAGTCAGACAGCGAGGACGAGCGGAAGGAAATTCCAAATCATCGTCCAATGAAGGACATATAAGATTCCCAAGTGGGCCATTTCAACCATCGCCATTATTGACGAGGACAATAGAATAAATCTAGAGGGAGAAAATGGTAATTCCGTGGCTGCTGATGGCCGAGGAGTTGGTGGTTGGAGTGATGCCCATGTCAGGGTTTTTTTAATAAATTAACTGATTTGGTTCCGGCTTCTTTAAAAACCCTAGAGACCACCCTCCATCTGAGCTCAAGCCATTGCCATCCTTTCCCTCCCCGTGGATTAGTCGGCCTCAAAGAGTACCTGGTTATTAGTGGGCTGTAAGATAATGGCCTAGATTTACGATCACACTTGCACGACCCCACCCAACCCAACCACCCTCCTCAAGCCCAGGCCCAATAAAGACCCACTTAGATAGAAAAGTGGGCCCAAGGCATATGGAGACGTTGTCTGCATCGCCATCGAGATCCTAACGTAATCACGAGAGATCTTGCATTCCAACTTAGTACTTTTAGACGAATATCTCTGCGAATACCATAGTTTAACAATCAAAATCTCTCATGTATATTCTTCATCTTTTCCAAAACGGATGTATTGCATAAAGATGAGTGGTGATGGATTGGTGTTTGAATCGTCCCACATTGAATGTCTAAGATGAGAATAGGAGGGGAGCCTTTGCTCTGGGTCCCGCCTGGTTGCAGTGATGAATGGATCAGAAGAGGGAGTGGGTTCCATCTCAAGCCAGCGTTGGTTGAAATATGAAATTTCCTCGAGTTATTGTAAGTTGGTTTCAGTCAGACCACCCGATTAATTTTCTCAGAGAGACTCAATAAGTTGACTATAATCGAGGGAAAGAGCTCTGATGCTTTGCTGACCCCCTTAGAGAGTGTGTAAGTAGATACTTACGAGAAAACCAGACCAGAAGTTAGATCTAATGAGGATCTGACAGTAAGTCAAATCTGATTTCTTGATAGTAGCAAGATTGTAGATGTCATACGAATTATGATCAATATTTCGACGCGATTAGAGAAAACTGTTGCCCATGCACGCTGACGGCGACGTCTCCTGCGCGTAGTACTAAATGAGTACATAACTGCTGCTTTAACCAAGCAAAGAAGGTGTCGTACTTCGTCAACATGCTCAGTCCATTCGTAAAAGAATATTCGAACAGGAAAAATGTCTCAACGCTTTCTTATTCAGAATACTAGCGAAGGGAACGAAGAAAGAAAGAGAGAGAGAGAGAGAGAGAAAGAGTTGACCTCTAATTGACAAGAAGCATTCTTATTGCTTTATAAACCCAATTTGGGCACTATACCTTGAGACCGCGGTCAACCTTCTCGTCCTCGTGGGCGATGAAATCGTAGTTGTACAGTACGGGGATCATGGTCGCTGAACAGAGGAACGCCAGCATGGGTCCAAATATCCAGAGAAGAAGAGGGAGGGCCGTGTAGAAGAGCCGGTTGCCGGCGACGTTGAGGAGGAAGCCCTTCCCCAGCAGCTGCCAAACGTACTCTGGCGTGACGGGGGAGGACGCGTTGCCGGCAGACTGGCCGAGGGGGACGTTGACCAGGAAGTTTGCCTGGTTGATGAACCTGACGGAGAGGGAGTAACAGAGGAAGGCGAAGAGGAAGATGAGCAGCAGGATGACGTACTTCACGCCCAGCATGAACTCCCCGTCGGCGCCGTAGATGGCGTTACTTAGCGGCTTCTTGATGCTGTACGTGCTGCTAATGACGGCGGCGAGGCCGCAGCAGAGGAGCATGGTCGTGGTGGCCATGAGGGTCACCGCCATTATGAAGTTTCGGATGGTCTGCACAGCCAGGACATTCTTCTTATCGTTGTCCTGCCACAAGAGGAGCATCGCTGTCATCATGATAGAACAAGATGTGAAGGATTGGACGTTTTGTTATAATTTCTTGCCTTCATCATAGTGATGACCCAGCGACGAGAGATTGTGGAGTTGAGGCCGATGATGGTACGGTCTGGTTCCGACTGGACCTTGCGCCAGAGCCAGATGTGGTAGGCTATGGAGATCAGCAAGGAAGAAGGAACCAGTAATAGGTCGAAATAGTAGAGCCTCCACTCCATTCTCTCTTCTCTCTCTCTCTCCCCTTCCTTACGAAGGACGACAATACTAACGGCTTCTTGATTGTTGCTCGTATTTAAGGAGCACCAGTTCAATGAAAATGGACGTCACGGGAGAGGGACAATAGAGGATGGGAATCTAAAGCGCAGAGAAGAGTAAACGCCAACGGACTTCGTAAACCCATGCAGAAGCTCTGATGTAGTTTTTACACTCTAGCCCACTCTGTTCCGCACTTCATGGGTGTTTTCGTCCTCTCGGAGGGTCCCCGACTTATAAGTGAGATTCCGACGAGGCCAACTCAGAGGAGACAACGTGATGAGAAGTGTAGGGAGAGAGAGGAGAGAGGAGAGAGGAGAGAGGAGAGAGGGGAGAGAGAGAGACTGAGAGACACAGAGACAGAGAGAGAGAATTTCTATCCAAGAATGGATGTGAGTGGGAGTTGAAACGATGTCGCAGGACACCACTTTCCATATTGGCTGAGGGTCAGCACGCCAGTGGCAGCTCTCCGTATGAGTTCCAGAGTTGCCATGGCTCCCTCATGAAGATCTCATCTACATTCTAAGTCGATTGACAGAGAGAGAGAGAGACGAACAGACAGACAGACAGGGAAAGACAGAGATGGAATAAGGGAATGCCCTCACAAGGGTTAATTCACCTGGAGTCACACAGCACCACAAGCGGAGCCCATCGAATGTCGATCTTTTCGGAGAGGCTGCTAAAGGATCCAAATATATGATAATAAACTAAGCTAGATATGTTCCGTTTCCCATTAAATTCTCCTCTTATGGAATGAATTTATGTTTATTGGATAAGGTCTCATAAAGGAGATGCTAATCCCATCGTGCTGATAGTGGGCGACGAGTTGTTCGTGCTTTCCACCTAACCTTCCACTAAGAGCAATCTAGACAAGATTGGCGGAGTTTCCAGGATGTCTATCTCTTGAAAACATGGCCACAACGTACGACTAAAACAAACACCACTGAGAAGAAAGAAAGCACGTCTTTCAGAATCGCCGCGGGCTGATCGTTGGGACAGATTCTGTTTCTCTAACTCAGGAGACTGGGTAGCGTTCTGTCTTCAATATATGAATGTCTTCAAATCACTAGGATACTTTCCAGTGCTCAGGCAGCATATGAAAGAATCGACGTAGGATTCAGTAAAACCAGTAAAAACTTTTCCCGGCGATCGATTGTCCGTCGGATTCCAACGGAGATCGGGAAGATATTCAAGTGGACGGCTGGAGTCGATAACTTCTGAGTTCGACTGCAACAACGAAATATGAAACATTCGAAAGGGAAAGTGAATAGTCTGGGGGTGAAGGATCTCGGGCTACTCCCAGGTCTCAATGGACGCTCAGTCAGGGACTTCTCAGTAAGAAAGATCTTCGTGACTAGCGTCTTTGGGCAATATCCCCACATGCCGGCAGACGGACGACGAGAACGGTTCACCAGAATAATTTTCAGTTATTGAAAATGTTCGAATTCAAGAAAATGGTTCTTTGAATACACATCTTCGTGAGTTGAAATCCATTCTCGTGCATCAAGATAGAATCTTAAAGATATCTGAGGGACAGAAATCAATAAGCATTTGATAATATTGGAAGTTATTAGTCTCATCACCCATTTCCTGCATATGATAATGAGGGGGCAATGACCATCAACACCTCCAGTAAGCAAGTAGTACCTGCACTTGCAACTTCACAGAAAATCAGACAGAAGAGGGCAGTTCAGGGACAGAAAGAGAGAGAGAAGAGGAGATGAACAGTTCCAGGTGGGAAATGCAGGATCCAGACAGCAGTAAGAACGCCAAGAGGGTATTAGATATTGATGGAACACTATTCACACAGCGTCGTCTCGCCTTCTACAAGACTGGAGATCATCCACATTCATCTCGGGGTCTATATGGGACTAAAACGGGAATGTGGTCCACCGGAGAGGCCTCATGGGTTGTTTATCATTTGAGTTAATTACGTAAATGTAAATATTATACATTATAGGTGAGATATTGACCTAAATGAGCAGATAGTAGTCAGTTTAAAACAGACCTACATGAGTTATTGACGAGAAATTTCAGCTGTCACCTTGGACTTTGTCCTCGATTATCTGGTGCAAGTTGCATGCAAGAGGGAAGAATACTTGCCGGCTAGCTAATGTTTCTCTTCATGCCAAGTTGATGGACAGGCCATGTGATAGTTTCATCTGAGACAAGACAGACAAGGTCTGGTCTTCATGACTGTGTACCCTTGTTAATATTTACGGCGGAATTAAAGAATGTAGATCGAGCAGGAAAAGAAAGAATGAGGGCAAACTAGCTAGGAGACGGAACACTTGGTCTCTCTCTCTCTCTCTCTCTCTCTCTCTCTCTCTCTCTCTCTCTCTCTCTCTCTCTCTCTCTTATATATATATATATATATCCATCTATCTATATATTCTTTTTTTTATTCCAAAAAGACGTTGGATGTCCGATACATTTTCTTTGCTCAATAAATGTTCCAATAGTTTCCGAGATATCTCAGTCAGTCCGAAACTCTTCTTTTAAAAGTAATGTTTGGATCCATGGACATGAGGAACAACATAGTGGTCCAGCAAATAATGGCTACTCGGAGAAAAGATGTAGTCTATTGTGGAGCATCTTACCATTAAGGACGCTCTGAGAAACTGAAAACGGATGGGATATCGTGGGGTTACTGTTCTTGAGAAAGTGTACTCAAGAAACACCCAACTTCTCCACAAGGCCCCTCCAGTTCATCGAAGAGAAAGATGACGAAATCGCCACCCTTTAGGTGGGTTTGAGAAGACTTGGCAGGACGAGAGTTGCTCTCTCAATGAGAAACTTAAACGATGAGAAACGAGGCGGTAAGTAGATAAACCTCTCCCCTATTGATGATACCCTTTTCTTAGCGAATGGCTGAAATGAGCTACTAAGATCCTCTGTAGGTCACAAGACATCATCCTCGGTTTCCTGATGCGATTCACAAGCAAGAGGGACGACGCTTGCGACCCGGTGGTATTTCCTTGCAATCAAGTATGGGACAACCCATGTGCTGATTTCATCTGAGAGGAGACGGTACAACAACGTCCGGGTTTGCTTGTGGCCACAACATGGAAATAAATAATCCCCATCAATGGAGAAAACAAATAAACAGGCCAAAATATCTAGAAGGTCTAGCATACGAATCATAGAAGTTGGCTCATGTGTCGCTGTAAAACACTGCTTGAAAGAACAGAGATGGTGGGCACGCATTGATAAAGGGAGGAGAAAACTCGGCCACAAGTTTCGGGCCCTAAATGAGGAGAACATTTTGGATCGCCTTGAACGGCGTTAGAAACTGTGGAGTCTAGGGTTTGGAGACTTCCAGTCCTTCTCTAAAGCCTCTGACCTGAACTGATGCGTGGTAAAATATATCGAATTAAGGCCATTATGTAACAACCTATATTGGAAAAAAGAGCACGCTTAAATGCATTATTAAGTTGAGTTAGCATAGTTTCGGCTGGTCGTGGGTCTCTCCTTTGCCTAGCTTCCTCAGACGCGTTACACATCGCGCACTTACAGTCTGACATTTAAAGCGTATTATGTTAGGCTGTTACCACTCAAGGCTCCTTCAATGCGGTGTGACATCATGGTTAAAGTCCTACTTTGATACTGGGGGGAGTCGCTGTGGGGTGGTTTCAACCACTCATCAGAGTATGAGGCTTCTTCTACATAATAAACTTAGACGTTACTGTCAAAATCGTTTTTGGAGATAGAATTTAACTTTTGAACTGGAGCATGTTGTCATATCTCATTTTATTTAAAAAAGAAGTGTTCTTCACGTCGGATAAGAGCTCAAACAACATTATCAAAATACAGATAAGCGCACCTAAAAATGTTTGTTCTTGTGTGGGGGTGCCTCTACTCTCGTTCTTCTTCATTCTCTCTTTCGCATCTATGACGGTTTCACTCCAAAATGTGATATCTACAGGAATAAATTCTAGATTCTAATCAGATCAAGAGTGGACAAGGGTCAGTCCGTCAATCAAAGGTGCCCTTATCATAATCCTGTACAGAGTTTCATGCTACAAGAAAAAGTCGATTATTTTACAGAAAATTCACGGAATCAATCTAGCCCGATGTTGGCTTTTCCCACTCTTATATTCTTCGCCTCTCGTTCCATTAATCCCACAGACACGGCGCTCAGCAACAAGAGTGACCTGTTCCGCACACACCCTATGGACAGATAATCACCAGGAACGATAATGAGGAAAAAGATATGAGGCCAAGTGGAGAAGGCGAGGCCGTCTACGTAAATCTGTGGAAATCAGACGTGTAGTCCGATCATGGAAAGTTCGGCTCCCAACAGCATTCCACATGCCACTCCACCTCGGGTCACTCTCATCCGAATCCACTGGGACTTGTTAAGAGAATTTTATCCTGCAAATAGGAAGGAAGTTCCAAATCACCATCCAATGAAGGGCATGCTCAAGCCTGAAAGACACAAGATTCCCAGGTGGGCCATTTCAACCATCGCCATTATTGACGAGAACAATAAAATAAATCCAGGCGCAGAAAATGGTGATTCCCTGGTTGCTGATGGCCGAGGAGTTGGCGGTTGGCGAGATGCACATGTCAGGGTTTTTAACTAAATCAATTCATTTGGGTTCAGGCGTCTTTAAAAACCCTAGAGGCCACCCTCCATCTAAGCTCAAGCCATTGCCATCCTCTCCCTCCCCGTGGGATCCACTGCGACTGGAAATCTTCCCCTTCGATTGACCCATGGAGACGACGAAGAAGCCGAGCAACAAGATCGCAGATATCGTCAGGCTCCAGCGCATGCTGAAGAAATGGAAGAAGGCAGCGGACTCTCACAAGGGCAGCGGCGACAAGAAGAGAAATGGCGTCCCCAAGGGCTTCCTCTCCGTCAGCGTGGGAGAGGAGATGAGGAGATTCGTGATACCCACGGCTCACCTGGGCCACAGGGCCTTCCTCTCTCTTCTCAAGGAGGCCGAGGAGGAGTTCGGCTTCCAGCACGAAGGCGTGCTGAGGATACCCTGCGCGGCGTCCTTGTTTGAGAGCATCCTAGAGGTCGTCGAGAAAGAGAAAAAGAAGAAGAGAAAGGGCAAGGAAGTGTACGGCAGCTGCTCCGCAGAGGCTGACGTGATGGACCGCTTCCGTCGACAAACGCAGAAGCCCATCTGTGGCTGACCCCTCTCTCTCTTTCTCTCTAGAACGGCCCTCTTCATGTGTGAACATTCACAGGGCGGAGCCACTTCTCGCCCTGTTTTCCGCCGTATTTCACCTGGCCCTCCTTTTTTCTCCAGCATCCTCCCAGAAGGGTAGATCTTCGGGATGGGATGTCATGGACGAGTGCGTTGTGTAATATCAGTGCGGACGGTTCTATAAGGCCTCCCGAGAAATTCATTCTCTGAAGATCCAACCAGCTACTTCTCTCTCTCTCTCTCTCTCTCTCTCTCTCTCTCGATTTTATCGATCTTCAGGCGTCGGATTCTTCATCTTACTATGTCTGTAGAGGGAGGTTATTCCATCCATCTTGCTTCGGTCGTATCAGTAGATCGTCGTCGCCCAACTGAACGATCTCCGTTGTTCAGTCCCTCCGTCGCATTCCCATCACCCCTGACGAAGAAGAGGAAGAAGAATATCCGGCTGCACCCCGGTCGACATTATAAATGCCTATTATACCCCTCCACCAGACATGGGAGTGGGTTTCGTCATTCCGAGAATATTCCCAACGACCCTGATTTTCTTCCTTTTAAGGACTAATTAAAATAAATTATGGGGATTTTTCAGATAGACCAATTGTTTTGGGATCTAAGGCAAAATCATCCTTGGGAATTTCGCATATGAGTCAATAAAAATCAGCCGTCAACACTTCGAAGCGTTGAGGAACAATCCGCGGTGCCGGAGCTTACCAGTCGACTGAGAGTACGCAGCCCAGTATAGCCCATTGGGATATTTCAATGTGTCGGCCCATTGGACAATAGAGAGACATATAGGCCCAAAATATACAGGAAAGCTCTCTCTCTCTCTCTCTCTCTCTCTCTCTCTCGTCACTGAATGTACCCACATCATCTTTATTTCACTCCTTGAAAATTCTAGGATGATAAAATGAGCCACCAAGCTTGTTCTGCCTTTTGATCTGGCAACAATAAGCTGACTTGCAGTGAGTTTAGATCCACTTGTATCCACAACAAGCATGTTTCATCTCTCCTAGGCTTTCCTAATCTGTCTTGAAACCATGAGTTCCTGCTCCTGGTGGATCGACGGTAATCTTACTTATGTCAGTCACCAAATATCACATGGTGTCTAGTGTGAGGGCCCCTACAGGCCTGCAATTGATACATTATCACTTTTTAGTTAGATATAAGAGCCTTGTGCCCATTTGGAGATGCACTGTGTTCGAGTATAATAGTTTAACTATATTTTTATATTTCTCCCTTTATAAATTCTTTCACGACGAAAAAAATAAAGCTATGCATAAAGATATAAGGTTTTTAATATTATATTTGGATATGGTATTTTCCCAACCATATAAGAAATGGAAAGAATGTAGTTGAGCATAGTTTCCCAACAGTCCACTAAAGTTTTCCATAGATAAATCGTTTAAAAAAATACTAAAGAGAAAAGATTAATAGTTAATCTTGAAACCTTCACGTTCATAAAAACCATGAAAATTTCAAAGGTCCCTCAAGTACAAGTTTTAGTATTCATCAATGATTTTGAAATATTTCTTCCTCCAACTCAGAGTAACAAAAACACTAGTGAGAAACCCCTAAAAACCCAAAATAAATGATATAGTAAAAAAAGAATAAAATAAAGCATCATCAAAATCTTTTGATTTTCCCTTGTTTTTTCCATCTTCTGCAATCTTTTTCTTTCTCTCCTCATTAGAAGAACAAGCTTTTTCAAGTGGTGGTCCACATAATCCTAGATTGCCTTCATAACTGCTCTCCAAAGAAGTTGCAAACTATCCAAACAAGGCATTGAAGGCAACACGACAAGTTGAAAGGGAGGATAGTTAAACCATTTTTGGGGGGATAGAACTAGTTAAACTATTATGTGAGAGATCTAAAATTTCTATAGTATCCATTTGTGACATTGCCATTGGTATAGAACCTCAAATGTGATTATTTGATAAGTTCAATGATTGAAGTCCCTTCAATTCTCCAATTTCTAGAGGAATGATGCCACTAATCATGTTCACTACTAGATCAAAGATAGTCATTTGCAAGAGAGGAAAACCTTCATATAGATTGAACAAATTCTTTGACGTGAAGAATACACATTTATCTATTATTGTGTTACTAATTCTGATAATCTATTTTGGACTTTTTGATCTCCAATATGAAATATTGTGAAGACAAAGTAAATTTTTCCTTGATAAGTTGTTTCTAGAAAGATCTAGGAAACGTAGATATTGCATTTGACACAACTTTTTGGGTAATAGCCTTGAATTCAATTCTTTCTCAAGAAAAGTATTGACATATAAGGGAAATAGGTAGGTTGTTAGAGAAATCATCTATAAAGTTGTTATATCCAAAGTCAATGATTGATAGAAGGGAAGAGTTGGACAATCTTGGGAGAAGTGAACTGGTGAAATTACTCTTATTGTCGATCAAGTATGATAATTGTGGCAAATTGGCAACCACGGGGAACATTTCTCCTTCAAGACAATAAGACATTTAAATAAGACACTGTGGACTGATTTCTTGTCAAGTATGTTGTTATTTTCCTGATAATTTTTTGTCACTCAAATCATGTGAATATAGACATGCATACCTCAAGGATGTAGGAATGTGTCCTTTCGACTTATTTCCTACCATTCTAAATCTCTACAATATGGGAGAAAATAGCCAATATTCTCAAGCAACAACTCATATAGACCATTAAATAAGAAATTGATGGTATCAACATCTTGAAAAGCATTATGGCAAAGGAGAAGAAATGGGTTAGAAAATTAATTCCTTTTTAATAAGTTTTCATTATCATGTGTTAATAATTTACTAATAATATATTTTAAGTCTTAACTTATGATAAATATACTTATATTTATGTTAAATTAAGAAAAGGGATTTTTAGTTAGTTAATATGATTTTTTGTTATTATGTGATTTTATGTAAATTTATATAATTTTATAATCATTTTTTTGAGATAAAATGAAAGAGAATAAAATAAAATAAAAATATAAAAAAAAAGAAGAGACCTACCAGTTAGGTAGGCCTACAAGTAAGTTGGAAAGTATAATCAAGTGGAGCTATGAGCAGAAGCTCAAGTGGTTAAGGACTAATTGGGGGCACATGTGCATCACTTCCATTCCACATCACTAGTGCCTAGCCAAGTGTGGGGTAAGGAGTGGTCGTACACACATAAGAGAGAGTATATTAATGATAGAAAGACATATTGTTATATATCTATCTCAAAAATTAGAAAATAACCGATGTGGGCCTAAATCGGCGCTAACACTTGCAAGTAAGCTTTATATATTTTGATACCTAAATTGTCCTTTATTTATGAGAAGGAAGTGACTCTATGACATCATTATATAAGGGTATGAGGGTAATTAGTTAATTCTCTCTCACACATGCAAATGACCAGCAAAGGTTTGAATCTCAATAGACCTAAACTTCATATTTTAATCTAATTAAATCATAATTTCTTACAAAGTATTTGTCAATGATTAAGCCACTATAATTGCTCAATCATGAGTGAAAATACCATCAACATAATTTGCAGAGCAACGTTACCAACTGCTGAATGATTGTGGATAAAAAGATCATAAATTCATTAAGAAAATCATCTATGATTGACCAATGACTCAATCATCATGAAGAAGAGGATAATTTGTTGAGAAACTAGTTGTCATATCTTAAAAGCATAATAGATGCAATAAAGAGTCTCTTCTTACTATGCATACTTGAGGATGAAGCTCCTTAAGATGCATTTCACTTTCATTCAACTCATCTCTATCGGGTGACACCCACTAGAGATTCGTAAGTCGTCATTTTTTTACTCCGCTAGCTGACAACTATTGAAAATGATTTGTCAACTCATCTTACTGATATGTTGACTTCATAATAAGATTTAAAAAATAGTCATATCATCCTTATCCAAAGAGAACATTTGAGGTTGTAGACGTCATATGACAATCCTCTCAAATATAGAATTCTTACATCACTGTCACGAAGCCATAACTCTGCATTTTCTATTTTAAACTTAATATTTACTTAATTCAATGAGACTATGTGTCATTTCTAGTTTCGAAAATCTTCTTCATTCAATTATAATTTTTTTTGATTTGATCAATTAAATCATAGGCTCTGCACTATTTCTCTTGCTTCATATCACTGTTGTTGAGCTATGTTTTTGTTCTACATTGATAGAAGCATGCTGTTGGTTTCCTACGTCAAGCATTACAATGGCTTGACACTGTCCCGTTATTTTTAAACCATTGTTTTTTACCTTTCATTCTGTTTTTTAGATCTCTTATCTCTCTATTCTGTTTCCTCTCTATCTTTGTCTCTATCTCTCTCTAGAAGTCATAGGCGGGCATGCAAGGCCTAATCCGAACCAAGCTATCAATAAATTTATCACATCTTTTTGTAATTAGTAATTTAGTCAAATGAGGGAAGGTCAGTCAAAGATATAGGGACCATAAGCTGCCTTATCCAGCCAATGGAACCATGCCATATTATAGGTCGCGGGGGAACTCCCGAGCTTTGCGCCATCTGAGAGAGCCCCCACGCTGGACGGGACGGCTGGATTTCAGTTCAACGGTACAGATTTATTGGTATATTATATTTTCCGTCCTTACCAATTTTAAGTTTTAATCACAACTGTTAGCATGACCATGAATGAGATATAAATAAAAAAAGTATTGTTTTAGTGCGCATTTAAATTGCAACTCCGCCGCTTTGGCCTCGCAGAGAGCAGGTGACCCCGTTTCCTCTCTCTCTCTCTCTCTGATTCTTCTTCATGCCCCAAGGAAAAGTCGATTACTTTACAGAAAATGGACTCAATCAACACCTTGCCCGTGTTGGGTTTTCACACTCTTATATTCTCCGCATATCGTTCCATTAATCCCACAGACGCGGCATTGAGCGACGTGACTCACCTGTTCTGCACACATCATATTGACGGACAATGACAACCAACGACAGTGAGAGAAAAAGAAATGAAGGCAAGTGGCGAAGCTGAAATCCGTGGAAGGCACGCGTTGCCTACGCCACTCCACATGCAACTCCACCCCGGGTCTCTCTCATCCGAATCCACTGGGACTTGTTAAGAGAAATTTATCCACTAAATAAGAAGGAAAATCCAAATCATCATCTAATCAAGGATATAGTCAAGCCTGAAGGACATTGAAGATTCCCAAGTGTGTGGGCACTTTTTCAACCATCGGCATTATTGACGCGGCCAATAAAAAACAAATCCAGCCGCAGAAAGTGGTGATTCTATGGTTGCTGACGGCTGAGGAGCTTGGCGGCTGGAGAGGTGCACATGTCAGGGTTTTTGAAAACTAATCGACTCATTTGGGTTGCAGCGTCTTTAAAAACCCTAGAGGCCACCCTTCATCTGAGCTCAAGCTGTTGCCATCCTCTCCCTCCCCTTGCGATCCACTGGGACTGGAAAGCTTCCTCTCTCTGTCTCTCTGTCTCTCTCTCTACGAGTATCTCTACATCTTTGGTGGGGAGCAAGCGGCAGGGGTCTTCCCTATCCCCCTCTTCCGCTTTCTCCGTGTGAACGTCTCTCCGAAACTGTTCCTTTCTTCCTGTGTCTTCCTCGTCTAGCGGGCCGCAGCATGCCATGGCCGGTGACGAGGCCTTTCAACTACAACAAGCACGGCATGTCAGCAGGCCTGGTCACAGCACCATCCGTTTTCCCTTCTCTGACTCTCTCTCTCTCTCTCAAGCTAGAAGTCGCAGGTGGGTGTGTGGGGCCTAACCCGAACCAAGCTATTTATAAATTTATCACGCTTTTTATAATTAATAATTTTTTAAAATGAGAGAAGGTCATTTAAAGATCTAGGAACCACGCGATCCGTTATGCAGCCCATCGAACTGCGCCACATCATCCGTCGAGGGCTAATTCCGAGCTATCCGCTGTCTCAGTCGCTCCTGGATTTCAGTTCGACCGTATAGATTGATTGGCTCCGGCATATAAGCCGCATGGAATTTTATATTTTCGGCCCTTAAAATTTTTAAATTTTAAAGTGGCCACGATAGAGGATACGTGTTTAATCAATGTCCTACGAGGACGTTGAAAGACTATAATTCAATTAGGTATTATTTTACTAATTTAAATTGCAGCCGGCCGCCTCTCCCTCCGAAGAGATCCAGATAGCCTCTCTCTCTCTCCCTCTCTCTCTCTCTCTCTCTCTCTCTCCCCTCTCATGGAATGTAACCCTGTCATCTTAATTTTCGTCCTTCAAAATGCATGAAGGTCAGGATAATGAGAAAATGAAGGCTGTACATGTATATTTTCGGCCCATTGGATATGTAGAGAAATAAAGGCCCGAAATATAACGCTCTCTCTCTCTCTCTCTCTCTCTCTCTCTCTCTCTCGCTGTGTTTTAGTGTCTGCACGTACCTCTGTACATGTATTCGCTCCTGCATAAGCGGCTGGCGTGTATTGATCCCTTCTGCTTGCCCCGTCTGGACGCCTCGCCTATTTATCTCCTCCTTGTCTCCGGTAGGCAGACCTTGTTGGCCGCCGTTTGCAAGGCCGGCGACGGGCCCCGCCATCTATAACGAGCCCAGAAACACCGCAGGCCTGGTCGCAGCTGCAGCTCCAACATTCCCTCTCTCTCTCTCTCCGCCCTCTCTTGTTCTTGTCTTTCCATGAATGACCAAACAGAGCGGCCGGCTTTCTGCGGCCTAAGGCGTCTCCTCCACGGCAGTCCCCCCTTCCCCCGGCGACCGCCGGGCTCCATGCTTCTGCCGGCGGTCTTCGGGGGTCGCCGTCCGGCAGAAGGCTGCCCAATATCACGAAACATCAATACCGGCGATCTCTGTCGGGACATGAGAGAATTCATCTAGTCAAACTGATGGTATTTCTCCTCTCCAAGGCAACGGAAAGAACTGAGGCTCTCTCTGTCCTTCTCTCTCCAAAAGTCATAATAGCGTGTGGGGCCCAACCCTAACCAAAGATGTTCGTATATTGATTGAGGTTTTTACAACAAACAGTTACTCAAATGAGGGAAGACCACACTCTCTTTGCAGGGCAGTCAGAGATCTAGGAACTACACACTCCTTTAGCCAGCCAATGGAACTCTGCCACGAGTTACCGCCATGTGCTTTAACCCGGCGGCAAACATGTGGAATTATATTTTCCACCCTTAGCAATTACGAAATTTTAAAGTGCACACTATAATTATGTGTATGTAAATAATTATGGTGTGTTACCAGGACCTTGAAAGAATTATAATTAGCATGTGTATTATTTTAAGGTGCATTTATATAGCAGCTTCGCCGCTCTCTCTCTCTCTCTCTAGTTTCTCAATGTACCCGCAGCATTTTTTTTAAGCTCCTTGAAAATGCATCAAGGCAAAGATGATGAAATGAGCCATCAAGCTTGTTCCGCCTCTTGATCTGGCAGCAATAAGCTGCCTTGCAGTGACAACTTAGAAAATACCTTTTGAGTTGTGACCAAGAGCATGGACGGAATCCCGATATCAGATGCATAGCATTCGTTGGAGAGATGGAGGAATAATATCTATGCACTTGTGTCCATCCCCCCTTTCTACCATACATACTTTAACGTATCTTTGTGACCTACTCAAGTACAGAGAATGTGACAGATTCTCCCCTTGGAATTCCTTGTTCTTTTCCTTGCATACAGAAGAAGCGCAATATTTCCATGTTACCCTTTGTAATTGTATAATTATACTTTTACCCTTTCTTCTTCATGGAGTAATAGATCCGGTGCTACATTAATGTCCGAGAAGCCGGATTCAACCCAGTTGTTTGGGTCACCTTAAATACATGTACTCGTTTACCCTAAAAAGGGTTGGAAATTTTTATCTCCACCCCTTTTTTTCTCTCTCTTCCGGGAGAGAGAAAGAGAGAGCAATGGCTCTCTACTGCGGTGACAAAGGGGCACCACGTTGATTGTTGTTTAATAGATGAATGGAGATTCATCGAAGACTGCAAGCTCACGAGACAATCAATCTCGGTTGTGGAGTGCAAGCTGCTCATAAGTCGTGGTCAGAGCCCTCCAGCGTGTCTCCCATGGTGAAAGAAACTGCGGAAAAAATAAGGACCTAGCAAATATGCCAAACTCTTGGAAGTTGTGTAAGTTTGCGTGCAGTAATAACAAGTAGACACTTAACCCTCTGAAATGCAGCTTCCCATCCAAGGGCTGTTTTAGTACTTCGAAGCTCTCCATCCGTAAATCCAACCAATGAATTGAGAGTAGACATTGGTTAAAACTTCTTTCCCTTTTTATGAACTAATGTGTTAGCATACATCACCAATGTCCAGTTTATGAGCTGGGTTCATTTACAGACTTTATAATCCTTCACTTCATATGACAAGTTGGAGTTGAAATACCACGGAAGAAGGCCCAGACATCGTGTGGGGATCCGTCTTTGGCCATTGCATTGAAGGTCCATGACAAGGGCATTAACACACTTCAATGTACCAAAAATGCAAAAACAGACCTAAACCCCACGAAATATATATATATAGATATATAGAAATTTCTTCTGACAAATTTAACAGAAAGCTAAAATAATTTGCAAAATTATGGCCTTAGTTCAGGATAATGTCTTTTACAGAAATATTTTTCTGCAATAATATATCTTATGTAATGTCTATAATTAATCATTTAGTTGTGGAATCACTCTATTCAATACATTTGGCACACGAACTTTCTCTTTGTGTTGTCTTCTAATGTCCGTACTATGATAGCTTTAGAATCCTCATTTTGTTGGTGATCAAAATATCTTGATTCGTTCAGATCATCTGAACAGAATTAGCTACTTCAAGAGGATTTTTGGAGAGTAGTCACCGGTACTGTCATTCAAATGAAACAAGATTGGTTTCATCTCACCTAGTCTTTCCTAATCTGTCTTCAAACAATGAGCTCCTGCTCTTGGTAGATCCACAGTCAATCTTATTTCTGTCATTCACCCAACATCACATGGTGTCTAATATCAGACGGCCTCCCTATAGGTTCCCACTTGATACATTACCTTTTCTTAGTCTGATGTATGAATGTCGTGCCCATTTGGAGATGTAGAATGTTTCTCTCGTGAAAAATGCTTTCACAATATAAAGTAAGGTTATGCATAAAGATAGAAGGTATTTTAACATGATAGTTGGATATGGTATCTTCCCCACACTGTAAGGACTGGAAAGAATATAGTTCAGCATAATTCCACAATAATTCACTAATGATTACCATACAACATTATTGGAACAAAACATATAAAAAATATTAACACCACTCTGAAACCTTCATGTCCATACAAACCTACTATTCTCTAGACCATGACATTTTCAAATGTCCCTTAAGTACATCTTGTAGTATTCATCAATGATTTTGAAATATTTCCTCCTCCAACTCACTTTGAAGAAAATGCTGGCAAGAAACCACCAAAAACCCAAAATAAATGATATAGTAACAAATGAATAAAATAGAGCATCATCAAAATCTATTGATTTTCCTTTGTTTTCTCCAGCTTCTGCATTCTTATTTGCTCTCTCCTTGTCAGAAGAACATGCTTTTTCAAGTGGTGGTCCACATAATCCTGGATTACCTTCATAACTACTTTTAGAAAAAGTTGCAAACTGTCCACCACTAGGGATCCCACCAAACAATATATTGAAGGCAACACTGAAAGCTGAAAGCGAGGAGAGCCGAACCATTTCTTGAGGGATAGAACCTGTTAAACTATTATGTGAGAGATCTAAACTTTCCATGGTATTCATGCACGCCATTTCCACAGGTATGGAACCTTGGATGCGGTTACTTGATATGTTCAATGATCGAAGTCCCTTCAATTCTCCTATTTCTCGAGGAATGATGCCACTAATCATGTTCGATGATAAATCAAGGTGAGTCATCTGCCAGAGAGGATAACCTTCATATGGACTGATCAAATTCTTTGATGTGAAGGATATATGTGCATCTCTCACTATGAAATCAATCACTCTGGATTTTTCAGGACTGCTTGATATCCAAGAGGAAATATTATTAAAACAAGGTAAAAGTTTTCCCGATAAGTTGTTTCCAGAAAGATCTAGGAAACGTAGATATTGCATTTGACACAACTGTTCAGGTAAGAAGCCTTGAATGTGATTCTGTTTCAATAAAAGTATTTTTATTTCAGGGAAATAGGGTAGTTCATGAGACAAATCATCTGTAAATTTATTGTATCCCCCGTCAATGATTAATAGACTAGAAGAGTTGGACAACCTGGCAAGAAGTAATCCTGTGAAATTATTGTTCGTCACAATTAAATGATGTAAACCTGGCATATCAGCATCAGTTGGGAGAACCTCTCCTTCAAGGTGATTGTAAGACACATTTAAATACTGCAATTTGCTCTGATTTCTTGTGAGAGTGTGGGGTAGTTCTCCTGATAAATTGTTGTCACTCAGATCTAGTTCAGAGAGGGGTGCATGCCCCAAGGTTGAAGGAATGCATCCTTCTAGCTTGTTTCCTGCCATTTTAAATGTCCACAACTTGGGAAAAGAAACGGAAATATTCTCAGGAAGTGAGCCATTTAAATAATTAAAAGATAAATCAATTTGGTAGGCGTGTTGAGAAGCATTGTGGCAAGGGAGGAGAAAAGGGCCAGAAAATTGGTTCCACCTTAGACTTAGTGTAGATAAAGATGAATTGCAAAAGAGGCCAATAGGTGGTGTCCCTGTGATTGTGGTGCCCCATAAATATAAACTATATAGTTTACCCTGGGTCCAGAGGAAGGTAGGAAGTCTATTACCACTATTCCTATTCAGTGAACAGTCCTGAATTATGAAAGTGTTGAGTTGGAAAGATGGGACCCATGAGATGGGGTACTCTGTGTTGATGTCTAAACCCCCATTGGACGAGAAGTAGATGTATTTAAGTTTGGAAAGGTTGGCAAGCACCGGGAACTGGAAGGTTCCTTTCAACCCATCGCAATAGATCTTTAGAGTACGCAGTTTGGTTAGATTACTAAAGATAGAGGATGGCATACTGCACTTGAACTCATCACCGGCAAGCTGTAGGAATTTGAGCTTATCCAAGTTGCCAAGGCATGAAGGAATGCTGCTTGGGAATCTGTCGTAGGATAAAGAGAGAACTGTCAAAGAGCGCATGTCGCACAACCAAGATATGTAGTTTCCTTGAAACTGATTGTCGGACAAACCAAGCTCTGTTAGGGTGCGAATATTGCTGAAACAAGAAGGTATATCACCTGATAATCTGTTATTCGATAGATAGAGTTTTCTCAAGGATCTCAAGGCGCACATACATGATGGGATGGAACCCTCCAAACTGTTACCCTCCAAATAGAGGATTCTCAAGGATCTCAATGTGCACAAACATGATGGGATAGAACCTTTTAAACTGTTATAGGCTAAAGAGAGTACTCTCAGGGATCTCATGGTGCACAAACATGATGAGATGTTGCCTCCCAAACTGTTAAAGGATAGGTGGAGTTCTCTTAGGGATTGTAAGGTACACAAACATGATGGGATGGAACCCTCCAAATTGTTCGACGACAATCGTAGAACCTTTAAGAGCTTCAAGTCACAGATAACTGCGATAAGAATAAAACAAAAGGAGAAAAACTTTTCTTATTCATATGGTCTAATCAGAAGGACGGAAAGTGCATATATAGAGTGAATTGAATCTTCCGTTGATGTATAAAAATCTCGACACAGTTGCTTGTCACAATTACGGAAAGTTACTTACTCTCTGGAATGCCACCGGTTATGTCATTGTACTCCAAATTCAAGCTCTCTAGCTGCCCAAACGTTGCCAACATGATGTGATTCAAGTACCATGTCGCCCTCGGTACAACACGCCACATCTGGGACGATAAATCAATCCCGACCACGCGACCGGTGTTGAAGTCACAGGTTATACCCTCCCATCGGCAGCAGTTTTTTTCCTCTTTTGTTGTTGAGTATCCCCAGTATCCCCAGTGGGACAAGGCCGATCCGTTGGGGAAGTTGATGGACCTCTTAATCTCGAGCAGAGCCCTCCGTTCCTCGTCGCGACAACCCGTCACTTTGCATTCCAGACAAGACGACGCTATGACGACGAGAACGAAGATCATTCTTCCCAGGACAACACCCGGAAAGGCCATTACAGTAGCAGCAGCGGAAGAAGGAAAAGAAGAAGACGATGAGGATAAGATGATGGAGTCATCTCTCTTTCTCAAACGGACAACAGGATCATTGTTATGGGCTTGTTGACTCGTCGACACAGGCGGTGGGGGTCCAGATCACCACCTAATCAGGGGCTCCTCGTTCTCTCGGTTGGTTGACGTCGCTATTGTTGAACTGTATCTTTTTTCTATGCTGACAGGAGCGTGCCGTCGGCTTGCTACGACGGCTCGATGCTGTTCCTATGTTTGAAACCTTTATTTTTTCATTTCGTTCTGTTTGTAATCTCTTCTGTCTCTCTCTTCTCTTTCCTCTCTCTCTTTCTCTCTCTAGAAGTCACAGGTGGGAGTCTGGGGCCCAACCCGAACCAAGCTATCTATAAATTTATCTCTTTTTTATAATTAGTAATTTACTCTAATGAGGGAAGATCAGTCGAAGACCTAGGAACCACGCGCTCCCTTATCCAGCTTCTGGAACTGTGTCAGATCATCGGTCGACGGGGTAATTCCGAGCTTTCCGCCATCTCAGTGAGCTACCCCGATGCGCGGCGGCGGGGTTTCAACTCGACGGTATAGATTGATTGGTTCCACCACGTTAGCGCCCTATGGATAATTGTGGGCAGGGTTCTGTCGATCAATCAAAGGTTCCCTAGTCTGAAAAATCCTAAAGAAAGTTTCATGCTACAGGAAAAAAAGTCGATTATTTTACAGAAAACGAACTAAATCGACATCTAGCCCGATGTTGGGGTTTTCTCTCTCTTACATTCTTCGGCTCTCGTTCTATTAATCCCACAGACACGGCATTGAGAAACATGATTGACCTGTTCTGCATCCAGCGTATTGACGGACAATGACAGACAACGACAGACAACGACAGTGAGAGAAAAGAAATGAAGGCAAGAGGAGAAGGTAAGGCCGTGGAAATCAGATGGGTAGTCCGATCATGCAAAGCTCTCACTGCCTACGACATTTCACATGCAATTCCACCCCGGGTCACTCTCATCCGAATCCACTTGGACTTAATAAGATGATCTTAACTCGTAAGTACGAAGGAAGTTACAAAGCATCTTCCAATGAAATACATGCTCAAGCCTGAAGGAGATAGAAGATTTCCAGCCGTGGGGGCCTTTCAACCATCGGCATCATTGACAATTGCCACGGTCGATGAAATAAATCAAGGTGCAGAAAATGGTGATTCCATGGTTTTGAGCTCACCTTAGAGGCCACCTTCCATCTGAGATCAAGCTTTTGCCATCCTCTCCTTTCCGGTAGGATCCGCTGGGACTGGAAAGCTTACCCTTCGATCCACGCTTGGAGGGGACGAAGAAGCCGAGCAACAGGACCGCAGAGATCGTCGGGCTCCAGGGGATGCGAAGAACAGGAAGAACGCAACGCCCTATCAGTTTCTTCGCTGGAAGAACTAAATAAAAAGAAATTTGGGCGATTTCAAGAAAGGCTACTTAGTGGGGACGTAAGGCGAGAATGTCCTCTGGAATTTCGCAGTTAAGCCCCACCAATTGTGATTGTGTTTGGATTCAATCCAAAAAAACTCGGCCAACCCTCCGAAGCCTTGAGGAGGCAGCCTGCGGAGGCGGAAATTATCACTGAACAGAAAAAGTCCGCTGCCCAGATACGACCAATAGGGCATGCAGCGAAATTAAGAACCGGAACCGCTGGAACGTATAGCCATCTCCTCTCTCTCTCTCTCTCTCTCTCTCTCTCTCTCTCTCTCTCTCTCTCTCTCTCTCTCTCTCTCTCTCTCTCTCTCTCCCCTCTCTCTCTCTCTCTCCTCTCTCTTTTTCTCTTAGAGAGAGATGTCAAGGAATGCATGTTGCACAGCCAGGATGAGTCATTCCATTGGAATTGATTGTCGGACAAATAAAGAGATGTCAAGAAGTGAAAGCTGCCGAAACAAGAAGGAATGTCACCTAACAAACTGTTATCAGATAGATCAAGTTCTCTCAGGGATTTCAAGGTACACAAACATGATGGGATAGAACCTTCCAACTTGTTAGAAGATAAATCAAGTTCTCTTAGGGATCTCAAGGTGCACAAACATGATGGGATGGAACCTTCCAAATTGTTAGAAGATAAATCAAGTTCTCTTTGGGATCTCAAGGTGCAAAAACATGATGGGATGGAACCCTCGAACTTGTTGTCTGACAGATCCAAAGTCTTTAGGAGCTTCAAGTGGCAAATAGCTGTGAGACAAATAAAGGAAATAAAAGAAAGAAGTTTCTTATTCATGTGAGCAAATGAGATAATTGATGGAGCTAATTGATTGATTCAACTATATACTTGCGTTGATGTGGGCAAATCTCGAAAATATTTTTCTTAAGAATAACGGAAGTAAATGAACTAGTTGCTTGTCACAATTGGGGGAAGTTACTCACCCTCTAGAATGCCACCGCCTATCTGATTCCCCCACAGATTCAAGCTCTCTAGCTGCCCAAACTCCGCCAACATGGTGAGGTTTGGGCGCCATGTTTCCTCCACATCACTCCGATCCTCGCCGTATAAATACAGCCCGACCACGTGACCGGTGTTGGGGTTGCAGGTAATGCCAAACCATTGGCAGCAGTTTTTTCCCTCTTCCATTGTTGAGTCACCCCAGTGGTACATGTCCGAGCTGTCGGAAGGGGGGTTAAGCAGCTTCTTGATCTCGAGCAAAGCCCCCCGCTCGTTGTCGTGACAACCCCTCCCCTCACATCCCAGACAAGATGCTACCACGACGACGAGAATGACCATCAGCCTTCCCGTGACAAAGCCCCACAAAGCCATTGGAGGAGCGGCAGCAGCAGCAGCAGCAGCACGAGAAGAAGAAGAAGAAGTAACTAAGAAAATGATGATGAAGAAGAAGAATGAGAGGTCATGTTTCTTGCTCAAACGGACCACATGCTCCATATTTATGGGCTCGTTAAGTCGTCGACAACCAGAGAATGTGGTCTGGGAGGCTGCGCGGGTCTAGACCACCATCTAATCGGAGGCTCCACAATGACTCGTTGGTTGACGTCGCTACTCTTGACAAATATCTTTCTACGCTGAGATGAATACGCCATTGACTTCTGTTATTTACGTCTCTTCTCTCTCTCTCTCTCTAAATCGTGCTATTTACGTCGAGCGTTACACGACGGTTGGCGTGTGAAGCCCGACCTGAAATAAGCTACTTATTAATTTATTACGCTTTTATAACTAATCATTTAGTCAAATGAGGGCAGACCGCACTCCTTTTTGACAAAGGCAGTCAAGGATATAGGAACCACGCGCTCCCTCATTCAGCCAATGGAACCGTCCCACATCATCTAACTCCGAGCTGTCCGTCTTCCAACACTAGCCCCCCGCTGAGCGGCTGGATTTCAGATTGACGGTGTACATTGATTGGCTCTACGGGCTTGGCCACATATAGAATTTAATATTTTATACCCTTACAATTTCATAATTTAAACGGGCCGTATATGTAGTGAATCCTTACGAAATATAAATAAAATAAGTATTATTTTAATGCGCATTTAAACCGCAGCTCAGTCCTTGATGTGGGACGTACTCCAAGTGACCTCCCCTCTCTCTCTCTCTCTCTCTCTCTCTTTCTTGGTGTGTACAATGCTCGTCGGAAGAAGAAGTGGGAAGGGAGAAGAGAAGGGGAAGGGAAGGGCTGTCGGATCTTGTCGAGGAAATGACGGGCGCCATGAAGATGGTGCAGCTGAAGCGGCTCGTAAGGTGGTGGAGACCCTTGACCTTCCGCCGCCACTCAGCCGCCGTCGGCGACATCAGTGGCGCCTCAGGCCTCCTCCGCCGCGTCCCCGCCGGCTTCCTCACTGTCTACATTGGCCCAGAGAGACAGCGATTCGTCATCCCCTCGTGCTTCCTCAACTTCTTGGTCTTCTCCTCCTTCCTCACCCATGCCAACGAGTTCCGATGAGGTTCGGTTGAGGAACCCCGCCCTCGCAGGCTTCGCAGAGTTGAGTGGCCTTGCTAGCCTCGAGACCTTTATTCTCTCCTCTGTCCGTTATAGACAGGAGGCCACCTTCCCACCGCTGCTGCCATTGCTGCTGCAAAAGATCAGGGTTTGCAGGCGTTCTCTAAGGTTTGAAAGAGGAGAGGACTGTGTGGAGAGGGTTGTCATGTGGTTTCTTTCATTGGTGCATCCATCCACCTCTTGAGAGCATATCGGATGTGATGAAGAGCTTCCTCTTGCTGCACGAACCTAAGGATAAAGCTTCTTGACATGCACCCCACCTCCATCCAACTCATCTCTGTTGAGTGATAGCTACTAGAGAGCTCTAAAGTCGTCATTTTTCTGCTCTACCAAATGATAACCACCAAAGATGATTCAACGACCTATTTTATTGATCTTTAGACTTTGCAAGGAGATCTAGAGATTCTCCATGTCATCTTTGTCTAAGAAAAGCCTTCAAGGCCATGAACATTACACAACGATCCTCTTGAATGCTCAAGATTTTGGTACATCGTCGATGCATGACTGCTGCAATACTAAAACTCTATTTTCCTACATTTAACTTAATTTTCACTTCATTTAGTGATAATTTATGTGATTTAAATTTACCAAGATATATTTCATTCAATTACGATTCTTCTAGCTTTTATAGATCTTAATTTGATCAATTAAATCATCTATAATTACTTACGTAAGAATCATCAGGTGAAATTCTATTTCCACCTGATTCACATTTCTCGAGAGCTGACATCATCTTGATGTCCACACCCTTATTTTCCTTTTTTTCATAAATTTTAAATATATTTTATTTTCATTTCTTAGCATACAATTCATAGAAAATATTATTCTTTGAGGAAAATTCTAAATAATTACTTGATATTATATTACATCCTTGTGATTGATTTAGAAAATTATCATTATTTTTGGAAGTTTTATTGAATTATAATTAATATATTTATTTAAAAATACTTCTAAATATCTAAAAAATTGTATTTTCTAATTTTATAAATTTTCAATTTACGTGATTTACTATATAATGACTAAGTCACGTCAATGGGGTAAGCAAAGCAAGAGTTCTCTAAATTAGTGAACTTGAGGAGCTAAGGAATGAAACATATACAAATTCAAGAATCTATAAGGAGAAGATGAAGGCTCATCATGATAAACACATTATGAGAAAGAACTTCATTGAAGGTCAAAAGGTATGACTTTTTACTTCCAAACTTAGATTATTTCTTAGAAAACTTAAATCTAGATGGGATAGGCTGTACATTGTTTTACATGTTTTGGATAATGGGGCGATTAAACTTCTTGATCACAAAAATGATAGATCTTTATTGTGAATGGTCAACATTTGAAACCCTATCTTGAACATGATCCTCAACCATCTAAAGAGTCTTTGCTCCTCACTAATCCATGAGTTTACATGAGTCTAGTTAAAGACATTAAACAAAGCACTCTTGGGAGGTACCCCAAACCTTAAATAGATATCCCTTTGTTTTGTTTTTTTTTGTTGTCTCTTCTTTTTTTTTTCTTCCTTTTTTAAATCAAGTATAGAGGAGAAGGAATGAAGAAAATAGTGAAAGGAGAAGCCCAGCAATGCCACAACATCGAAACGACTCCAAAAATTCAGGTTATATCCTTTCCCCTGATCTATGTTTTCATACATGAGCATGTAGTATGCTTACCATTGCGGCAAATGGCATTTAAGTTGGGGGATCACCTAAATTGCATGAAATTTGGTAAGTTTTCAATTTTAAAGCATGAAGATTGCAGCATATTTAATGCAACACCCTAATATAGTACCATTTTTCAATGCCATCCTTCTTAGTGGGTCCATCTTGGATGAGTATGACAAGATGATTATGATCTAGGAGGGGGAGAAAAATTAAAATCTTTTCCACTTGTTGTCCTCTACGTTAAAGTTCTCCATTGTCCTCTTAAGGTTCACTAGTTCCACCTACTTGTGTCTCCTACTAGGGAGAGCTATTCTTCCTCAACCCCTTGGGTTTATTTAGAGTTCTTCCCAGCCAAGTAACCTTGAAGTATATTATCTTATAAGTCCTTGGTAGCTAGCAAAAGTATGAAGCACCTAGAAAATCAAAGTCCAAAAAAAAAAAAAAAGGTTATATCACAGAGCAAGGGTTAAGAGTGTGGTTAAATTTTTTTTTTAAAAAAAGCTCAAAGTTAAAGTTAAAGCCAAAGCCTATAAGTGCCATGATTTAAACTCTGCATCTTCTAAACCTCATTCACTCTACACCATCTAATCTCCTTCTTAAGCCAACAAGGTAATGTATGTAAAGCTTAAAGTTTGCCTACCCCAACCTTAGTGGCCATTGAGGCTTTGATTACTTTTCAGCAGAAAGGAAGGATAGAAGGTTTCACATAGTATTTGGATGAGAACTAATGACTTAATGATGTGGAGGACCTACCATGATTTAGAGAGCACTTAGACAAGCACTTGGTGCATATTCCCTACTGGCCATAGGATTCTAAACTCATGCTTCATCTGAGGTGTATTCATAACCTGATGGATGGCATATTTATTTTTAATGATCTAATCAATCTTAGCTTATATTTTTCTGTATATTCATTACTAAGGGACTAGCAATACATTAGTAGGGGGATGTGATAAATATTGATTTATCACTAAAAATTAATTAATTTTCTCTTTAAATTTTGCATTAATGAATCATAATAAGTATGAATTACAATATCTCTTCATATTAGAACAAAAGTCAAAAGATATACATAAATGACTTTAAACAGCTATATCTATATCATGCAACTTATGGATTTAATTACTAACCCTTTCTAACCTTTTTCCAGGGTTTATCACCTTAAGAATGTGTCTAAATTTAGGAAGAACAGGGATTCAAAATTTTAAAATTTTATTCCAAGGAGATTAATTTTCATGAAATTTTCAAAGTGAGAAGAATGAGCATGGAATATTAAAGCTCAAAGACCCCAAACATGAGAAAAGACTGATTGGAGCATAAAAGAATTAAACACAGCACCCAAAATATTGGGCTCAATCAGACCACACAAAGGATGGAGAAAAAAGGCCCAAATGGGGGTGGGTATATAAACTTAAGAAAGGGCAAATGAAAGTGGATCTTTTTTCAAGCTTAAACTAGAGGTGGTGGCTAGGTGATGTACAACAAAAACCTTAGGGTTTCAAGGATGATCTCTCCACCTTTTCTCTCTTTTCTTAACTCCTTAGACCCCCTTTTATTTTGTAGATGACGAGTATCATTTTACAGATGGTATTTTATTCAATTTTTAATGGATTATTCTTCTTTATCCTTGACTTCTCACACCTTGACAGTGACACCAAGGCAGAAGAAGGGAAATCTGTATCAACTCATGGAACTTCTTTTAGGTTTATAATTTTTCCCATATACCTTACTTTCTTACAAATCCAATGAATATTTAATATTTTCAAATGATCATGTTTTAATGATTTGATGACAGAATCATCAAGCATATTGTTAGAAATCTTCTCGATAATGAATGATATATGTATCCAATCATATAGTTTCTTTTAGCTTTATGATTTCTCTCATATACTTTACTTTCTTACAAATTCAATGAATGTTTTATCTCCTCGGACGATCATGTTTTGGTGATTTAGTGACAAAATCATCAACACATCATCAAAAATTATTTTTTGGGTTTCGTATATGAACCTTTCCATGGATCAAATCTGATTTCATGAGCTTTACATAGAATTAGGTCACATAGAATCTGATTTCCTTGGATCAAATCTGATTTCATGTCAAATCTGGGTTAGTTGATTATCTTATATAATTTTTTCATGATTTTATTAAAATGTTTAAATTAAGTTTTTAGATTTTTACAATTATTATTTCCTGAAATTTCTGTAATATAATGTATTGCCTCTTCTGAAATAGCATGCTTATGCTCTTAGTCGGTGGATGGTCTTCAAGCCTTATCTTAATAAGCCAGCATCATATGATGTCTTCTGATGGTCTCTCTATGGCCTCCCTAGTGGATGCATTACCTTTTTTAGTTTGATACGAAAGTGATGAGCCCATTTAGAGATCATGGGTAACCCACTCCAATGGTTTAACAATCCTTTTATGTGTTTCTCCTTTAATAAATGATTTCATATTGACAAATAACTATTATGTGGAAAAATAGTTAAGATTTTAATTTCAAAATGATCTGTATAATATTTCAAAAGAGATAAGGTACTTTAGCACTAAAGTTGGATACAATATTTCTCCATTACAAGAATTAGAAAGGATTTAGTTGAATAACCATAATAATACACTAGAGATTACCATACCAAAATCGTTTAAACAATTCCAGCAAAACAAGTGTAACATGTCACCTCAAAAACCTTCCGAGTCCATTCATACTTATCTTGAACATGAAAGCTTTCAAAGGTCCCCAAGCACATATTGTAGTATTCATCAATGATTTTGAAATATTTTGTCCTCCAGCTCAGATTGATAAAAATTCTGGCAAGCAACACCCATAAACCCAAAGTAAATGCCACTATAACAAGTGAATAAAATAAAGCATCATCAATATCTTGAGTTGGCCTTCTTCCCCCAAGCTTCTGCCATCTTATCCACTCTCTTCTTGTCATAAGAACATGCTTTTTCAAGAGGTTTTCGGCATAAATCTCGATTAACTTTATAGCTATCATTTGAAAAAGTTGTAAACTGCCCCCCATATGGGATTGTACCAGATAAGTCTTTGAAGGCAATTGTAAGAGAGATCTGAACTTTCCATGTCATACATGCCTGCCATTGTCACCAATATAGAACCTTGGATTTGGTTATTTGATAAGTTTGATCACTGAAGCACCTTTAGTTCTCCAATTTCCCATGGAATGACGCCACAAATCATGTTCATTGATAAATCAACGATAGTCATCTCTTGGAAAGGATAACTTTCATACGAGTAGATGGAATTCTTCAAGATGAAGGATACATGTACATTTTTTTCATAGGTCTGTATTCAAATCATCTCAGGTTTTGCTCTTAATCTCCATGATGAAATATTGTGTACACAAGGTTAAAAATTTCCTGTTAATTTGTTTCCAATAAGATCTAAGAGACATAAGTTTTGCATTTGACATAACTGTTTGGGTAATTTGCCTTGAATATTATTCTCTCCCAATGAAAATAGTGCCATATGGGGAAAATAGGGTAGGTTGTGCGATAAATCATCTGTAAAGCTATTCCATCCAGCATCAACAATTTCAATGTCATGAGTTGGACAACTTTGGGAGAAGCGAGCCTGTGAAATTGTTGTTCTTGATGACCAAGACATTCAAAGTGAATGTATTGATATCGTCCGGGAACATCTCTCCTTGGAGATGATTGTAAGACATTTAAATAATGCAATGTTGTCTGATTTCTCATCAAAGTTAACGGGAATTTTCCAAATAAACTATTGTCATTCAGATCTAGTGAATATAGGGGTATATGCCCCGACGATGCTAGAATGCTCCCTTCGAACATGTTTCCTGCAATCTTAGCTTCAGTTTAAATAAAGTGGAGTTTCACAAAAGGCCAATGGGCGGTGTCCCCAAGACAGCAATGCTACTTTCCGCACTTTCCGTCATCTCAGAAAGACCCCTTCCCCAGCCGAGAGTCTAAATTTCAGATCGATGGTACTAATTAATTGGCTTCACCACCTTAGCGACATATGAAATATTATGTTTTGCACTGTTATCAATTTTATAGTTTTACAGAGGCCACTATACAAGATATGTGATCAACCATACTTCTCTCACGAGGGCCTTGAATCAAATTTACATGTAGTAGCTATTATTTTAATGTGGATTTAAGATCTCCGCTCCTATGCTTTCCCCACCCCAGAGATCCAAGTGACCTCCTTCCCTCCCTCTTTCCTTCATCTCCTCTCTCTCTCTCTCTCTCCCCTTTCTCTCCCTATCTCTACTTTGCATGTTTACGATGCTCACCGGAGGAAGGAAAGGGGAGGGAGAAGAGAGGGGGAATAGAAGGGGCTGTCGGATCCTCTGGAGGAAATGTCGACGGCGATGAAGAAGGGGGGACAAGGTATCGCTGGTGGTGCAGCTGAAGTGCGTCGGGCTTCCTCTGCCGCATCCCTGCCGGATTCTTGGTCATCTACGTGGGCCTGGAGAGACGGCGCCTCGTCATCCCCACCCGCTTCCCCAGCCTCCCAGTCTTCTCCTCCGTCCTCCCCCACGCTGAGTTGTTTGGCTTCTCCACTGCCAATAGCCTTGCCCACCCCAGCGCCGCTTCTGGCGGGTCCTCGAGATCCTCGACTCCGACGAGGCCCGTTTCAGGGCCCTCGCCCTCGAGGGCTTCGTCGAGATGAGCGGTCACGCCGGCCGCAAGACCTTCAATCTTCCCGCTGCTGTAGAAGACCAGGAGGAGACGGGGGTTTTGGGGAGAGGTGTCGTGAACAGGGAGCCTTGCACGTCTTGCACGTCTTTTTGCGTAACAACATAAGCCTTGCACGTCTCGAGGCACACCTGCCTAGAGCTATTAGAGGTTGCTTATTGCTTACGGTTATTCCTTTTCCCCTTTTGTTGCTCCCTTATTTAAAGAGGGCTGTAAGAGGTTTTCAAAGAGCGAGATAGTCTTTCTTGTTCCTCCTGCTGGGTTTTTTCATGTGGCTCAAAAGGTGATCTCGCCGGCGACATCTTAACTGCCGTCGTCTCTCCGGCGAGTTTCTAACAAGTGATATCAGAGCTCCCAGGTTACGGGCCGGGACTCGATCGCGGCAAGGTATAGCCGTTGGAATCGAGAACGCGCAATCGAGACGCGCTATGGCAGGAGGAAAGGACGGAGCGGTCCAGAGGGTGATTTGTGAGGTGAGCACCGGGACCGGGTTCCCAATGCTCACCAAGACCAACTACTCCGATCGGGCACTGCTCATGAAGGTCAAGCTCAGAGCCCGGTTGCTCTGGACAGCCATTGAGAAAGGGGGCATCGAACCCCACGAAGACATGCAGGCGCTCGACGCGCTCTGCAGCGCCATGCTGCCGGAAATGTGGCCAGTGATCGCGAACAAGGAGACGACCAAGGAGGCCTGGGAGGCTATCGCCACCATGCGGATCGGCGATGACTGCGTAAAGAAAGCGTCGGCTCAGAACTTGCGGCGGCAGTTCGACTCGGCGACGTTCAAGGAGGGAGAGTCTGTTGAGTACTACGCGCTGCATCTCAACAGCATGGCGTCGACTCTCAACACCCTCGGCGACAAGGTCGAAGAGACGCAGGTAGTGGAGAAGATAATCCGCAGTGTTCCCCAGTGTTTCAGGCAGATCGTGGTCGCGATCACGATGCTGCTCGACGTGTCGACGCTCACTGTTGTGGATTTGACAGGTCGGCTCAAGGCGGCGGAGGATGCCTTCGAGGAACTGCCGTCGGCTATGCACCACAACGGCAAGCTGCACCTGACTGAGGAAGAGTGGGATGCACGGCGGAGGAAGCGTGATAATGAGAAAACTGGTGGTGGAGGTAGCAGCAGCGTGACGCACCGTGTCAGACATGGGCGCGGGCGCGGGCGCGGCTGTGGCAGCGACAAGGGCTCGTCATCAGGCGGCCTGACGTGCAACTCAGGCCGGCCCAGAGGTGATGAGTGCAGGAGATGCGGGAAGCTGGGCCACTGGGCCCGCGAGTGCCGCTCCAAGCCCAAGAAAGAGCAGGCCCACGTCGTCCAGAATGAGGAGGAGGCCTCGCTCCTTCTCGTGAAGTCAACGACGGCCAAATTGACGGCGCCGCCACCAACCTCCACTCCACCACGTTTTGCTGCGACTCCGCAGGCAGAGGATCGGTCCGGCGTGCAAGCCCACCGCCGCCGGGAGCAAAAGGGGTCCCCGTCAATGGAGGGGCCGCCAAAGAAGAGCGGAGGCCAGGCGCCTAGACCCAGATCCACCTGCGGGAAGAGAAGGTGTTCGCCCACCTTGAAGAGGAGGAGCTGCATGATGAGGAGGCGTGGGTCGTGGACACGGGCGCCACGAACCACATGTCGGGTTCCCGTACAGCTTTCACCGAGCTGGACACGAAGGTACTTGGGACGGTGCGGTTCGGCGACGACTCAGTGGCGCGGATCGAAGGCCGGGGGGCAATCGTGTTCCTGTGCAAGAACGGCGAGCACCGGTCCGTCGCGGGGGTGTATTACATTCCCCGACTGACGACGAACATCGTCAGCGTCGGCCAACTCGATGAGGCCAGGTACCATATCGACATCGAGAAGGGGGCGATGAAGATCCATGAGCTAGGCGGACGGCTCCTAGCAAAGGTCATGCGCGGAGAGAACAGGCTGTACATTCTCCACGCCAAGCTGGTTCGGCAGGTGTGCCTGGAGGCGCGGACAGTCGAAGAAGCTTGGAAATGGCACGCGCGCCTCAGCCATGTCAACATGACCGCGCTGCGGAAGATGGCTCGGGAGGAGCTGGTGCGTGGGTCGGCGGCGGTTGGTCCGGTGGACCAGCTGTGTGAGGTGTGTCTCACTGGCAAGCAAAAGCGGTCGCCGTTCCCCCAGTAGGGAGAGTACCAGGCGCGGCGTGTTCTGGAGCTGGTGCACAGCGACCTCTGTGGTCCGATTGCGCCGGAAACGCCAAACGGCAGCAAGTATTTCCTGCTGCTCGTGGATGATCGAAGCCGGTACATGTGGGTGGCCATGTTGCCTTCAAAAGACCGTCCTGAGGTGGCCATCAAGGAGATCAAGGCTCGAGCAGAAGGCGAGTCAAGACTAAAGCTGGGAGCACTCCGTACTGATCGGGGCGGCGAATTCACCTCACATGAGTTCGCGGAGTACTGCGCGGGAGAAGGTATTCATCGTGAACACACGGCGCCATACAGCCCGTAGCAGAATGGCATCGTCGAGCGCAGGAACGGCACGGTGGTAGCAACCGCAAGGAGCATGCTCAAGGCAAAGGGGCTGCCGGGCTGGTTTTGGGGTGAGGCAGTGGCAACTGCTGTATACATCCTGAACCGGTGTCCCACGAAGAGCATGGATGGCATGACGTCTTTCGAGGTATGGCATGGGAAGAAGCCGGCGGTGCACCATCTGAAAGTGTTCAGATGCATCGCCTACGTCCTGAACACGACACCGCATCTCAAGAAGCTGGAGGACCGCGGCTGCAAGATGATCTTCATCGGCTACGAGTACGGATCAAAGGCCTACCGAGCCTACAATCCCACCGCGAGGCGTGTCCATGTGACACGGGACGTGGTGTTCAACGAGAATGCCCAGTGGGACTGGGGCAGCGGCGCAGAGCAAGGGGATGCGGGCAGCCACGACGATATGTTCACATTGGAGTATGCCGTTGGGAACCAGGTACCTCCAGAGCTCGATGGCGCCATCGAGGTACTTGATGATGATGCGCCGGGACTGGAGCCGATGTCGCCACTGTCTATGCACTACAGTGGGGGAGCAGCACCGATTGAAGATGGAGGAGAGGAGGTGGAGTTCGCCTCTCCACCGAGTGTCCACATTGACCACCCGGATGCTAATCATGATGATGCGCCACTCCGGTTCCGCAAGATCGACAACATCGTTGGGCTGGCCTCGCCACGTGATCTCGCGTCGCGGGCGTTAATTGCAAAGGAGCTGCACGTTGTAAGTTCTGATGAGCCGGTCTCTTTTGTTGAAGTAGAGGGCCACCCGAGCTGGAGGAAGGCTATGGAGGAGGAGATGGCGTTGATCGAGGAAAACCGCACTTGGTCCCTAGTAGACCTCCCACATGGTCACCGGGCAATCGGGTTGAAGTGGGTGTACAAGGTGAAGCGGGATGAAAACGGAGCTGTGGCGAAGTACAAGGCGCGCCTAGTGGTGAAGGGCTATGCGCAACGCCAAGGGATCGACTACGACGAGGTGTTCGCACCTGTGGCGCGGCTGGACACGGTGCGCCTTCTCATTGCTCTTGCGGCGCACGAGGGGTGGGAGGTGCACCACATGGATGTCAAGTCGGCGTTCTTGAATGGCAATCTCAAGGAAGAGGTGTACGTGGAGCAGCCGGCCAGTTTCATCAGCACGGGCAACGAGCACAAGGTATTCAAGCTGAAGAAGGCACTCTACGGCTTACATCAGGCGCCTAGGGCCTGGAACGCGAAGTTGGACGAAATGTTATTGTCATTCAGATTCAGGAGGAGTCTCTCAAAACATGCCATCTACACCAGGTGGAATGGGGAGGCGCAGCTAGTGGTTGGGGTGTACGTCGATGACCTGGTGATCATCGGCGCCAATTGCGACGACATCAAGCATTTCAAAAAAGAGATGGCTGACGCATTCAAGATGAGCGACCTCGGCCTGCTTCACTACTATCTTGGCATTGAAGTCAGGCAGAGTGCGAGGGGCACCTCGATCAGCCAAGGAGCTTATGCCGCCAAGATTCTGGAGAGGAGCGGGATGGTAGGATGCAATCCCTGTCAAGTACCAATGGCAACACGTCTGAAACTGAGCAAGATGAGCACGGAGCCGCTGGTGGATGCGACAGCATACAGAAGCATCGTGGGGAGTCTCAGGTACCTAGTCAATACTCGTCCAGATTTGGCATTTGCAGTTGGCTATGTGAGTCATTTTCTAGAGGAGCCACGAAAGGATCACTTGGCTGCTGTGAAGCAAATTCTCCGCTATGTGGCAGGAACCAAGAGTTGGGGTCTCAAGTATGAAAGGAAAAAGGAGAAGCAAGTCCAGTTGACAGGGTTCAGCGATAGTGACTTCGCTGGTGATGTTGATGCTCAGAAGAGCACGATTGGAATTATTTTCTTCTTGGCCAACAGCCCAATTACTTGGCAGTCAATGAAATAGAAGGTGGTGGCTCAATCTAGCTGCGAGGCAGAGTACATTGCGGCTGCCAATGCTGCCTGCCAAGGTGTGTGGCTCGCTCGGGTGTTAGCAGAGGTGCATGGCTCAGCACCAAGTGTGCCGATGCTGAAGGTGGACAACAAGTCTGCCATAGCGTTGATCAAGAACTCAGTTCTCCATAGACATAGCAAACATATTGAAGTGAAGTATTATCTTGTCCGAGAATCCGCAGAAAAGGGTCAGATCAACGTGGAGTTCATCAGGAGTGAAGAACAATTAGGAGACGTTCTAACGAAGCCACTCGGAAAAGTCAAGTTCCATGAGTTTCGCGCCAAGATTGGGCTCGTTGATGTTCGTGGTAAGTATAGCAAGGCTCAGGAGGAGATTGTCGTGAACAGGGAGCCTTGCACGTCTTGCACGTCTTTTCGCGTAACGGCATAAGCCTTGCACGTCTCGAGGCACACCTGCCTAGAGCTATAAGAGGTTGCTTATTGCTTACGGTTATTCCTTTTCCCCTTTTGTTGCTCCCTTATTTAAAGAGGGCTGTAAGAGGTTTTCAAAGAGCGAGATAGTCTTTCTTGTTCCTCCTGCTGGGTTTTTTCATGTGGCTCAAAAGGTGATCTCGCCGGCGACGTCTTAACTGCCGTCGTCTCTCCGGCGAGTTTCTAACAAGAGGGTTGTGATGCGGGTTTTTTGTACCGGTGCATTCATCCATCCTGTTTTTTGGAGAGGAAACCCTGGTGTCCCTTCATGACTGCCGCAGCCTTCCTCGCCTTCAGTCATGTTTTGTTAGATTTCCAACCTCACTGACGTGACTCAGTCGTTGTATATTAAATCACGTAAATTTAAAATTTATAAAATTAGAAAACACGAATTTTCGGATATTTAGAAGTATTTCAAAATAAATATATCAATTATAATTCAATACAAATCCCAAAAATAGTGGTAATTTTCTAGGTCGATCACAGGGATGTAATATAATATCTGGTAATTATTCAGAATTTTTCTCAATGAGTACGATTTTCTTACGAATTTTATACTAGGAAATAAAAAGGAAATATATTTAAAATTCACAAAAAAAAAAGAGTAAATAAGGGTGCGGACGTCAGGATGACGTCAGCGCCCGGCGAACGCGAATCAGGCGGAAACAGAGTTCCGCCCGGCGATTCTTACGTAGGCGATTACAGACGACTCAATTAATCAAATTAAGATCTGTAAAAGCCGCAAGAATCGTAGTTGAACGAAGTATAGTTTGGTAAATAAAAATCAACAAAGTATCACTAAATGAAGCGTAAATTAAATTGAAAGCAGGAAAACAGAGTTCCGGCGTCGCGACGGCGATGCGTCGGTGATGCACCGGAATCCTGAGCGTTCGGGAGGATCGTCGTGCAGTGTCCACGGCCTCGAAGGCTCTCCTTGGACAAAGACGACGTGGGCAATCTCTAGATAAAGCAGGAAAACAGAGTTCCGGCGTCGCGACGGCGACGCGTCGGCGATGCACCGGAATCCTGAGCGTTCGGGAGGGTCGTCGTGCAGTGTCCACGGCCTCGAAGGCTCTCCTTGGACAAAGACGACGTGGGCAATCTCTAGATCTTCTCGCGAAGTCTAGAGACCAATGAAGTGGGTCGTCGAATCGTCTCCGGCGGCTGTCACCCGGCGGAGCGGAAAAACGGCGACTTTGCGGCTCTCCGGCGGCTGTCACCCGACGGAGAGGGGCTGGATGGAGGTGAGGCGCGTGTTAGGGAGCTTCATCCTCAGGTCCGCGCAGCAAGAGGAGGCTCTTCATCGCATCTGGTACGCTCTCAGGAGGTGGCGACTGGTCTCCCGGCGGATCGTCCTCTTCCCGACGACGGCTTGTTCGTCGATCAATCGGTGATCATTTACTCGATGGATTGCGATCCTTTTATCGCGAATCGTTCAGAAATTTTAGTAGCAATGCTCCGCGAATCGCGTTGACGAGATTTTCGCCGATGATCCAGCGATTCCGGTTGCTTAATCCTTCACCGGCGATCTGCAGGAAAGTCGCGATAATCAGTTAAAAATATATGAATTTTGACTCTGGGAGGATTCGAACCCGCGGCGGTCGCCCGCCCCTTACAAGGTGGATTTAGTCCCACATCGGTTGTGCGCGGATTATTCGGGCGAATATATAGTAAAGTTAGCTTTCTAGGCAAAGTCCTCTCGCGTGTACGACCACTCCTTGCCCCACAGCCGGCTGACCACCGGTGACGTGGAAGGGGAGTGGCGCACACGTGCCCCTATCGATCCAAGCAAGCCGCTCGAGCCCCTGCTCGCGGCTACTCCCCGACTGCGCTTCCGACCCACTTGCGGGCCCGGCTGGCCGGCGGATCACCCCATTTTGCAATATTTTTATTTTTATTTCTTGTTCTTCATTTATCTCAAAACTAAGACTGTAAAAATCGTATAAAATCACATAATTACCCAAAATTCACGTTAATCAACTGAAAACCACTTTTCATGCTTTAACACAAATATAAGTCTATTTATCATGAGTTAAGGCTAAAACTATATTATTTACTAATTATTAACTCATGATAATGAAGACTTATCACTCACTCTAGTCTTCTGCGGATGCTGGTTCTTTCCACCACACTTTCTCATTCACTCTCTTCTTCTTCTCGCGGAGCTTCAGCGCCGCTCTCATCGTCGCTTCTGCTCGCCAGCGGTGGTCTGCCTGCGCTAGTGATCTTCAAGTTTGGAAACGTTTGCAAACACGGAAAAGGGTAAAATTCCTTCCAACCCGCCAACTTACCCGCCAACTTGGACTTCAAGAGAGACCAAGGTCGGTTAGATTTCTGAAGATGGAGCAAGAGATGCTTCCCTTGAACTCATCGCCAATAAGACTCGAGGAATTGAGCTTGTTCAAGTTGCCAAGGCACAGAGGCATGCTGCTTGGAAATTTGTCGTTAAATAGACAGAGATCTGCCAATGAGCTCATCTGGCACAACCAGTATTAGTAGTTCCCTCGGAGATGGTTGCCGGATGGAACTCTCCAACTTATTCGATGACAAGATCGGGAGCCTTCGTGAGCTTCAGGTCACAAATAACTGCGAGACAAACAAGAGAAAAGAAAAATAAAATTTTCTTATTCGCGCGTTCGGATGAGACGGATGGGAGCGCATATAATTTAATAGAGAACGTTTTGCTTGTCACTATCAGAGGAAATTTACCCTCTGGAATGCCAACGGCTATCTGATTGGACGGCTATCACAAAGCTCTCGTGCTGCCCAAATACTGCCAGCATAATCAGGTTTGGGTGCCACGTCTCCTCCTCTACATCACTTCACCTCTCGCCTCCTAGTTTGACACCATGCAACTTATCTTAGACCATCGACAGTAGTCCTTCCCCTCTTCTGTTGTTCAGCAACCTCGACCGGGCAAATCCCAACCGTTGGGGAAGTTGATAGCCTTCTTGATCTCGAGCAAAGACCTGCACTCATCGTCGTGACAACCCCTCCCTTCGCATTCCATACAAGTCAACATCGTGACGACGAGAAAGGCCAACAGCCTTCCCAAGACAACTCCCCAAAATGCTAGTGGAGTAGGCGGAAGAGGAGTCTTTCTTACTCAAACAAACCGCATTCTCTTTACGGGTTCGTTGACGCTTCGATGTCCACAGAATGTGGTGTGGGAGGGGGGTGCACGTCTAGATCACTAGCTAATCGGAGGTTCCCCGCTGACTAGTTGGTTGACGTCTAATACCTTTCTCTACACTGAGATGAATGCGCCATTGACTTCAAAGTCAAGTATGACAATGACTTGACTCTCTTCATTGGCTGAAATCTTTCCTTTTGCCTTTTATTCTGTTCTATAGTTATCTTCTCTCTCTCTCTCCCTCTCCCTGGAAGTCATGGTTGGGGTGTGGAGCCGGACATGAACCATGAATACTGAGTTGTTTATACTAGGATATTTTATTAATATAGTTGGATAAAGTATCTTCCGACATGAACTAGAAAGAGTTTAGTTAGAAGAAAAGTTCCCAACCATCCACTGGAGATTAGCATACGAAGTCATTTATACAACACTTGTGAAAACCAATAAACAGTAAACTTGAAACCTTCATTTCAATTCAAATCTATTAACTAAGACACCAGAAGATTCAAGGGTCCATCAACTACATGTTACAATAATTGATCGATGAACTTGAAATATTTCACCCTCCAACTTTTATTGAAAAACAAACTAACAAGAAACCCCCAAAAACCCAGAGTAAATGATGTCGTAACAATTACAAAGAATAAAGCATTCTTGTAATCTTTTGACCTTCCTCCATCACCTGTTGTTGTTATCCCTTTCGTTCTCTCATTGTCAGAGGAGCATTCTTTCTGAAGTGGCAGTCCGCATAATCCTGGATTACCTTCAAAACTGCTCTCATTAAAACTTCTAAATTGTATACCATTCGGGATCATACCGGTCATGTTGTTGAAGGCAACGCTAAATGTTTCAAGGAAGGTGAGTTGTGCCATTTCATTGGGAATGGAACCACTGAAACCATTATGTGAGAGGTCTAAACTTTCCAGATTATCCATGTCTGCCATTGACTTTGGTAAAGAACCTTGGATGTGGTTCTTGGATAAGTCCAATGACTGAAGTCCCTGCAGCTCTCCAATTTCTTGAGGAATGATGCCGCTAATCATATTCATTGATAAATCGAGGTGAGTCATCCATTGTAGAGGCTCACCGTTGTACTGACGGATCGAATTTTTTGACTTTAACGATAGGCTTGAATCTGATTGTATTGCATATTTCCATCCAAAGTAATAAGTAACTGATGAGTAGGATGCAGATGCGTCCCAGTCTAGAATTTTTGACCTCCAAGATGAAATATTGTGAAGACAAGGTAAAATTTTTCCTGATAAGTTATTTCCAGAAAGATCAAGGAGACGTAGATGCTGCATTTCACATAACTGTTTGGGTAAGTAGCCGTGAATATGATTCATTCTCAAGGAAAGTACCACTATATTGGGGAAATAAGGTAGAGTTTGAGAGAAATTGTATGTAAGGCTATTATATCCAGCATCAATTATTCTTAGACCAGAACATTTGGCCAACCTTGGAAGAAGTAAACCTGTGAAATTATTGTTGTGCACGATCAAAGAATCTAAAGATGGCATCTCAGCGTCAATGGGGAACATCTCTCCTTCAAGGTGATTAGAAGATACGTCTAAATAAAACAATCTGCTCTGATTTCTCATCAAAGTGGGTGGTAATTTTCCTGATAAAATGTTGTCACTCAGATCTAGCCAAGACAAGAGTGTATGCCCCAAGGATGCAGGAATGTGTCCTTCCAACTTGTTTCTTGGCATCCTAAAAGAAATTAACGTGGGGAAAAAAAGGCCGATATTCTCAGGCAACATGTTTAGATCATTATCGGATAAATCAATGAACTGAACATTTTGAGATGCATTACAGCAAGGGACAAGAAATGGGCCAGAAAAATGATTTCTGCTTAGTGACAATACAGATAAAGAAGTGTTGCAAAAGAAGCCAGCAGGTAGTGTCCCCTGGATTGAGGTGCCCTCAAAAGTTAACTGTTGTAATCCACCTTGGGTCTTGAGGAAGGAAGGAAATCGACCACCACTACGCTTATTAACCACACAGTCAACAATGGATAAATGTATGAGTTGAAAGGATGGGACCCAAGAGATGGGGTACTCTGTGTTGATCTCTAACCCACCGAAAGAGTAGATATCAAGTTTACTAAGTTTGGAAAGGTTGGCGAGCACTGAAAATTGTAAAGTTCCTTCAAACCTACTACTGTTGATTTCAAGAGAGGATAGGTCAGTTAGATTACTGAAGATGGAGGAAGGGATACTCCCCTTAAACCAATCACCAGTAAGTCTTAGGAAATTAAGCCTATTCAAGTTCCCAATGCAAGAAGGAATGGTAGTCGGAGATATGTCGTTAGATATAGAGAGAAATGTCAAGGAATGCATGTTGCACAGCCAGGATGAGTCATTCCATTGGAATTGGTTGCCGGACAAATAAAGAGATGTCAAGAAGTGAAAGCTGCCGAAACAGGAAGGAATGTCACCTAACAAACTGTTATTAGATAGATCAAGTTTTCTCAAAGATCTCAAGGTACACAAACATGATGGGATGGAACCCTTCAACTTGTTAGAAGATAAATCAAGTTCTCTTAGGGATCTCAAGCTGCACAAATATGATGGGATGGAACCTTCCAAATTGTTAGAAGATAAATCAAGTTCTCTTAGGGATCTCAAGGTGCACAAACATGATGGGATGGAACCTTCCAAATTGTTAGAAGATAAATCAAGTTCTCTTAGGGATGTTAAGGTGCACAAACATGATGGGATGGAACCGTCGAACTTGTTGTCTGATAGATCCAAAGTCTTTAGGAGCTTCAAGTGGCAAATAGCTGTGAGACAAATAAAGGAAATCAAACAAAGAAATTTCTTATCCATGTGAGCAAATGAGATAATTGAAGGAGCTAATTGATTGATTCAACTATATACTTGCGTTGATGTGGGCAAATCTCGAAAATATTTTTCTTAAGAATAACGGAAGTAAATGAACGAGTTGCTTGTCACAATTGGGGGAAGTTACTCACCCTCTGGAATACCACCGCCTATCTGATTATCCCGCAGATTCAAGCTCTCTAGCTGCCCAAACTCCGCCAACATGGTGAGGTTTGGGTGCCATGTTCCCTCAACATCTCTCCAATGGTAGAAGATCAACAACTGGAGCTCAACCACGTGACCGGTGCTGGGATTGCAAATTATACCAGGCCAGTGGCAGCAGTCTTTTACCTGTTCTGTTAATGAGTCACCCCAGTATGACATGAGCGAGCGATTCAAGGGGTTGTAAACCTTATTGATCTCGAGCAAAGCCCTCCGCTCGTTGTCGTGACAACCCCTCCCCTCACATCCCAGACAAGATGCCACCACGACAACGAGAACGACCGTCAGCCTTCCCGTGGCAACACCCCGCAGAACCATTGGAGGAGCAGCTGCAGTAGAAGTAGCAGCAGCAGCAGAAGAAGAAGAAGATGAGGATGATGATGATGAAAAGGTATTTATTACTCAAACCCAACACATACTCCCCCTTTATGAGCTCGTTGCGTCATCGACGAGAAGAGAATGTGGTGTGGGAGGTGGCGCGGGTCTAGATCACTAGCTAATTGGAGATTCCCCGCTGACTAGTTGGTTGACGTCACAGTTATTGACCAATATCTTTTTTCTACACTGCCATGAAGACTCCATTGACTTTGAACTCTTGACTCTGTTCACTGATTTGAAACCTTTTAGTTTTCATTCTGTTCTTTACGTCTCTTCTCTCTCTTTTTCTCTCTCTTCCCTCCTCTCTAAAAGTCATAGCTTAGCGTGTGGAGCCCGACCTGGAACCTTCCCACATCATCTAATTCCGAGCTGTCCATCTTCCAACAGTGACTCCCCGCTGTGCGGCTGGATTTTAGATGGACTGTGTAGATTCATTGGCTAAACCACCTTGGACACCTATAAATTTTATATTTTACACCCTTACAATGTCACAATGAAAACTGGCTACAGGATATGTTACTAATCACTATGAAATATAAATAAAATGAGTATTATTTTAATGCACATTTAAACTCAGACACCTTCCTCTTTCTGGACATACTCCAGGCGACCTCCCTCTCTCTCTCTCTCTCTCTCTCTCTATTTTTGGTGTGCATACGAAGCCCGAGGAAGAAATGGGAAAGGGAAGGACTGCCGGATCTTCTCGGGGAAATGATGGGCACCATGAAGTGGTGCAGCTGAACGGCTCGTGAGGCTGTGGCGGGCCCTGAGCTTCCGCCGCCCTCGGCGACAACGGCGGCGCCTTGGGCCTCCTCCGGCAAGTCCCCGCCGGCTTCCTCGCCGTCCACATTGGCCTGGTGAGACGGGTCTTAATCATCCCACATGCTTCCTTACCTTCCCCGTCTTCTCCTCCCTCCTCACCCGCACCGAGGAGTAGTTCGGCTTCTCCGCTGGCGGCGGCCTCGTCGTCTCCTGCGCCGCCGAGTTCTTCCGGGGGGTCCTCGAGATTCTCGACTCCGAAGAGGCCTGTTTCAGGGACCTCGCCTTCGAGGGCTTCGTGGACTTGAGCGGCCTCGCAGGCCCCGAGACCTTGATCTCCCCTCGCAGGTAGGAGGCCACCTTCCCACCGCCGCGGCCGCCGTTGCCGCTGCTGCTGCAGAAGATCAGGGTCTGAAGACGTTTTCTAGGGTTTGTAAGAGGAGGGGAGGACTGCGTGGAGAGGGTTGTGGTGTGGGTTTTTTTACTGGTGCATCCCTCCGTCCTCACTTTTTTTTGGAGAGGAAACCCTAGTGTCCCTTCCTCCTCCATGACTGCGGTGGCTGCTCTCGCCTTCAGTCGAGTGCTGTTAGATTTACGAGCTCGCTCTAATCTGCAACTGATGTGGGTTTTTCCCAGCAACTGCCGTTCTCTCTCTCTCTCTCTCTCTCTCTCTCCCATTCTTCTTCATTTTTCTCTCTCAGACGGATGTTCTGTCGATCAATCAAAACAGCGAAATAAGGTTTCATGCAACAAGAAAAAATCGATTATTTAATAGAAAACGAACTCAATTAACACCTTCCCGACATCTGTCGCTCTTGTCTATTTCTCTCTTATATTCTTCGCCTCTCGTCTCCATGAAACGCGCAGACACGGCCCATTGAGCAACATGACTGACCCGTTCTCCACGCACCGTATTGACGGCGAACGACAGACAACGACCATGAGAGAAAATAAATGGAGACAAATGTAGAAGGTGACGCCATCGACGTGACTCTGTGGAAATCAGAGACTGCACCTCTGATTTCCACATTCGACTAAACCTGGGTCACTCTCATTTGAATCCACTAGGAACATTGATGATTCGATGAATGCTGATAACCCAGGAACGTTGCACCAGGAGAGCTATACATGTCAGGGTTTTTGAAAACTAACCAGCTAATTTGGGTTGCGGCGTCATTAAAAACCCTAGAGGCAAGCCCTCCATCTGAGCTCAAGCCATTCGCATCCTCTCCCTCCCTGTGGGATCCACTGGAACTGGAAAGTTTCCCTTTGATCCACCCATCTCTACCCGGTCGGCAACCCCGCGGGCCCTGTCTATCTCTATTTCCCTCTCTCTCCTTTTCATGCTCTTGTCTCTGCGGTCGACGGCGTCTCTTACACACAGCCTCGGCTTCCGCGGTCGCCGTCCTATTGAGCCTTGACCAAAATGCCGAAACATCACTGCTGGCAATCTCCGTCGAGACACGAAAGAATTCAACAAGTCAACTGCTGGCTTTTCTCCTTCCCAAGGCAAGGGCAAGAACTGGGAGGCTCTCTCCCCCCGCAACCCGAACCAAGCTAGTTATAAATTTATTACTTTTCTTATAAAAATAATAATTTGGTCAAGTGAGTGAAGATCAGTCGAAGAACTAGGTTTTAACCACGCGTTCCGCCATTCCGAGTGGACGGTATAGATTGATTGGTTGGCTTCACCACCTGCCGCCCATCTAGTGGGTTGCTCAAAACTTCATAGAAACTTCTCCCGTCTTTAAATTCCAGCATTGATGCGAGAGCAGACAGTGCTTAAAACTTGCTTCCCTTCCGAAGAACAGATCTCGATCATGCAGCAGTCATCCTCAACTCATACTGCCGCGGGGTTTCACCACGGCAAAGCTACATATGGAATTTTTTTACTTTCGACCCTTCAAAATTAAATTATTTTTTTAAGCGACGTATTCAATCGTCGCGTATAACCAGGACCTTGGATTAATTTTTTTTTAAAATAAGTATCATTTTACTGCGCATTCACATCGGAGCTCCGCCTCCTTCCCTTCCCAGAGAGCCAGGTGACCCCGTTCTCTCTCTTCTGTCTGTCTGTCTGTCTGTCTGTCTGTCTCTCTCTCTCTCTCTCTCTCTCTCTCATCTATTTTTCTGTCTTATGTTCTTCGCCTCTCGTTTCCATTGAACGCGCAGACACGCCCCATTCAGCAACATGACTGACCCGTTCTGCGCGCACCGTATTGACGGAGAATGACAAACAACGACCATCAGAGAAAATAAATGAAGGCAAATGTAGACGGTGATCTATGGCACGGACAAGCTTGAGTATTTCGCATCTAAACCCCTCTTTTATTATTATTTTTCCCATTCAATCTAATAAAAATCGGCCGTGTGCTCTCCGAAGTCCTGAAGATGCAGCCTGCGGCGGCGGAATGTACCACTCGACTTAAGAGTCGGCGCCCCAGATACGGCCCATTGAGCCTGTAAATTTATCGGCCTGTTGACATCCTCTCTCTCTCTCTCACTCACTCACAGACACAAACACAGACACGCACACACTCACTCTCTTTCCCTCACTGAATCTCTCTCTCTGTTGTCGCCGTCTTTCCATGAGTGACCACACAGCCGCCGGCTTTTTGGGGCCGACTGCGTCTCCTTCACGGCAGCTTCCACAGGGTTCCGTCTTAACGGATTCCAACACTCCGTCGTCATTACGTTGGTCCTTGAAAATAAATCAAGTCCAGTATGATGAAATGAGCTACAAAGCTCCTTCCGCCTTTTGATCAGGGAATTTACAAAGTATCATCTTTGTAAACCCCCATCTCCAGTGCATAGCATTCGAGACTGAAGTACAATGTATGTCGTCTGGTATCCATCGCACCTTTCTAACCCACATGCTTCAGATATCTTAGTGTCGAAAAATAAATAATATATTAATTTCAAAATGCTATATCTGAAATTGCACTTAAGGATATTAAGTATTTAACCGTGATATAATAAAAATATTAAGCATAGAGATGGATCCGGTATCTCCCCAAGACTATAAGAACTGAAAAGAATTTAGTGGAAGAAAAATCCTCAACAACCCACAAGTAATTACCATACATGTTCATTTACATAATACATTACAGAAAATGATTAATAGTTTCGCCTAAAAACCTTCAGGTTCAGGTTAATCCATTTTCAAGAATATTTACTACTGTTGCTGTCCATTTATCATGATTGTCTCGGCTCGATAAATTGCTGTTGACCAACTAAATGATCTGTGTCGTTCATCAAGATCTGTGTTGGGGATTTTCAGAGTCCAAAATAAAAACAGAGCAACAAGAGTTGGGAAACTGAAACTCAAAAGGAGACGATATATAAGGCGATTACACAGGTTCAGCTGTGCAGGCTGTCGTGCTACTGAAGACCGAGGATAAACTACAAAGGCCCTGAGGCCCCAAAATCTCTAGTCTCATCTACAAAAGGAGGCAGATCCCCCTTAAATAGTTATGTCGCCCTCATCAACATCTGTGCTGTTTTGCCTACGTCGACATCGACAAATATCTGGGATCGTCAACTAAACTGGAACAAAATTAGGAATTGGACGATCAGCGGAAGGTGGTTTAATCTGTGTGGGGAGGGGGGGGGGGGTAGACTCAACCATACCCAATATCCATATAATGATTTCTAATGCGAGTCGTGCTCTGTTTTGTTAGAATGATTTATAATTTATGCCTAATAAATAATAACTTTAGTTCTCCACCTTAAATCTTGAAATAAATTCAAGTGAATTTCAACAGTATTCCACAATGTTAAGTACCAAACCGTAATCATCCCCTCATGTAATCATATAATTACTTAGAATCGAACATGCAATTTCACATTATGGAAATATTTAAACCACTTTGAATATATTATGGTCATCATCAACACACCTAAATGATCATTACTTCGATGTAGAACTTCATATTGAGGTATTGATATCACAGAACACAGACTGCATATGAATCATGGTTGTAGTCCTCATATGAGTTTCCCATAAAAAAAAATCCATAATAAATAAGAACCTTATAGGTATGGAGAACCCAAAGAAGAAAAAGTGAATTACTCAAGATTTATGTGTGGATGGAACGAGCTGTTAGAAACTGGTTGCAAGAATAACAAGCAAACACACCCTCAAAAATTTTGGGAATTCCAAGCAACTGATATCATTCCAT